CACATGTGAGGAAATCTACTGAATGTGCATATCACAAGTACAAGTGAAGGGGCACGTGGGCACTGAGCCTCTGCCATACTGATTAATCAGTACAGCACCACGTCCACCATTAACTAGAACAGCCCCAGATGTCAAGGGGGCACACTGGCGTCTCGCTGAATTAGTATGCATTGATTATATCAAGGTTTCTTCTACTTATTTCAGGCGTGACCCCTTTTTATCAACAAAAACATCTTTAACAGCTCAACGATATGTTGATACCATCCTGCGGCCGGTTGCATTATCCTTCATGGCACGTCATCCTGGGGCCATTTTCCAACAGGATAATGCCAGGCCACATACCGCTTGCATATCTCTAGACTGTCTCCGTGCGGTTGATACTCTTCCTTGGCCAGAAAGGTCACCAGACCATTCACCAATCGAGCATGTCTGGGGCATGGTAGGCCGCCAGATTCGGACTATGACCTTGATTTTTTAATCATTTTTTATTTGTGTATGAGCTACACACATATTCAATTTCATCAAAAACAACCACTGCTTTCATGGTGCTTCGATTTTTTTAAAGGGTGTATTATAAAAGTGCAGGCAATGGATCGTAATCAAAGAGATTCTGAGTCCCTTTGATTCTTCAGTGGAATATACAGCTGTGAAACAAAGAGAAAAGTCAAACCAATTTGATCACTATGCCTGCTTTTTTCCATGGATTAGGATTGTGTATTCTTTTTATTCATTAATGAATGACTTGTTTTTCATAGAATGGAGGAAGCCGCCAAATCTGGACACGATTTTCATTCTCTTTTGTGGTTAATTGAATAATACGTGAACAATGTTTCTTAGTCTAAATTTCTAATCATTTTAGATGTTTGAGCTACATGTCCCGTACTTTTAGTTCTGTATATTTTGTTTTGAGAGAAAATTTAGTCGGATTTTACCATATATCCATAACTTCTCAGGGATTTGAACCCAGGAGTAACGATATTATAGGATTTTATTTGCCTAATATTAACTAAAACGTCGTTCAGGCCCTAGTAGACCGAGAAGCGAGATGCCGCTCCGTGTAATATAAATTCAACAAAGACCTACGGTTTTTTTTAAACTTGACTTTAAACAGAAGGTACCACTTGAATGTACAAACAGAACTTCGTTATTTGTGGGCAGTAGAACAGGTACAGGTACAATCTAGGCCAGCACCTTTATAGCACCTCAGGTAATGGAGGTATTGCTGAAACTAGCTAACTGTTAAGCTTCAACCCCAATTTTGAGGAAGGGCATCAAGGATTGTGATCCGAAGGTCTCCCACCCCTCTTCCATTACCACAACCTGTTAATAAGACGTTCGACTCGCCGTGTATTTTGTGCACTCCCATGCCGGCTGGACACTATACGCGTATATTTTCAAAAATATAGTTGCAGTTGAAAAAAATTTCCATGCAGGTGATTTATCTTACAACAAAGCAAAACATCTAAAAACACATGAAAATGACACATGAATCCCGGAAAAGGTATGAAACATTCAAACATTTTCAGGGATTCGAATCTGGGGCCTTCGGTATGGCAGTTAGTGTAAGTACTATACGACTGGGCGCCGGTGAGCGCAGCAGCAACTAGACAAATATGTGGAGATTACCCTTGAAAACTTGAGAAATTGAAGCGTCAAAATGTTAGCTGAAATGCTGTTTCTCAGGTGGAAGGTGCTAAGTTCTTAGACGCTTCACCCATCAGCACTGCATTGTGGAGTTTGTGAATTGCTGGAAATACTTTGTGGCCAAAATAGAGGGGAGAATTTGGACGCAATTGCACTTTTCAAAAGAAAGAGAAATTGTTGAAATATTACATTGTAGAAGTAAAATTAATATATTTTAATAAAGTTATACAGCTACAGAGACGTTGCACTTGACAAATACCCAGTCTGAGTCTCTGAATATGTATAAGAACGTCTCTGATCTTCGTCTTAAGATATCTGTTCTTTATTGCGTATTTTTGAAAGGAAACTGGATTATCCCGTGACTTCATGAGATCTAAAACCTGTGTCAGATCACGACAGTAAAACAAGAAAGGTGAAATTACCAATTAAAAGTATCGCAGCCAGAGACTACACACATTTGGCTTAACTAAGCTAGCTAAAAACTTAAATGGCGCACTTTGACGTCGGCTAACAAAATGGCTAATCTCAGAAAATTCACAGGTAGAACAGGGCGGTACAAATAAACTTGAAAGAGCCGCTACCAAAAGATCTACATGTAAAACCTTCAAAAAAACCCTCCTCTTAATTTTTTTTTTTTTACCAAATCATAAAAATTGGTTAATGAACATAAAATATCTTATAGTCAGACAGCCTACTCCGCTAACCATGTTACAGATAAGAGCAGCACAGAGAAATATCGCAGTGCTAGAATTAATCAACCAATGAGCTTTGGTTGATTAATTAATGAATATATCTTTTGAGTTCTCAACAAGATTCAACCTAAATCAGAATCTGCTCATAATATGAGATAAATCCAAGCAATTTCGAACTATACTTGCATAACTTGAATTCTGGATTGCGTTAAAAGGTTTTCGGATTCATTTGGCTAGAAGAAAAATGCTTTCAGTGCCCATGCTGTTCGAATATTTCGTAGCTTTTGCATTCTATTCCAAAAAACATAAGTTCTGCATTTAGCTTCCTTACTGGTAACAGCGTGTCTTGAATATATTTGTAGAGATACGAACAACATCCATTCCTTTCGGAAGGAGGGGTTCTAAAATGCCAATCGGCCAACAGACGCTTTTCACTCGAAGACGTTAAATTTCATCGGCAAGCTCAACAACAATTTACTCAACAAAGCAATTTGATAAAGATGCTTTTCGCTGTAGTTGTGCTCCCTCGAGACTGGGAAGGATCAGATATTTGGAACCGACCATTTTATTGATCTGGACCTTTTGAGATTGGGTATAGCTACGAGGTAGTGACGAGCACCACATAGCGTCTTCTGTCCTAATCCTACATAGGCCTCCTCGTGGCCCCGCTGGAAACCAGGCTCGCCTGAGCTATATTCAGATGATCATCCCTAGAGGAGAGTTGACTGGAACTGACCATCCCAGTGTACTGGCTAGATCAATATGTAGACAGCCTCGACTTCTGATGTAAATAAACTGTCTTCACAGGACTAGAGCCATCGTTTATTCGATGGTTGGTTCAGGCTCGGGAGACAGTACTGGTACTGTCTTGTCTGCCCCTTGTGGTTGTGAGGACGTTACATGGTTTGATATCGCAAGTTGTCCTTGGTTGATGGGTGCCCTGTGGTCAATACTGAGGGACGGACGATGTCTAACCTGTAACTTTGTTCTTTTCGGTGGATGCAATGCCGTCCACAGCTGTGCTTGAGTTCTTATTTTGTGCTTGTGAAACATTTGAATTCACCTGGATTGACCTTAAGCGGGGTACCTCCTCGGATGGCATCTGGAGATTGAAGCATGTTTTAGCCGCGTACAACTGCCTTAAGCGGCTATGTCTGGTAGCATCTTTCTCTGGTGTTCTGTTCTGTATTGAAAAATATCAAAATATCATACGTCAGTTCCTGAAGCAATGCTACAGGGCAAAGAAGTGAGGATTGTGACATGGCATCAATATCGCATAGAACCGACAGCCTATCTGCAGGCATAATTTCGACATGACTGTTCAGAAATCAATTCGGACCGTATGCTGATGTCGATCTTACACATGTACCATAAAAATAGTTTAATAAAATTATTTCCTTCTTGATCATGTGACACTGTTAATTATTGTCACTGGGTACTATGCGGTATTTGTCTTAAGCCGGTATCGATCCGGTGCCATGTCGACTCTACTCAATTTCGGCATCCATCCTACACAGTATTGAATTTTTTTTTTTCCCCGAACGGCGGACAATATTTTGCCCTTTGTCGATACTGGCCACTCCTAAGGCCGTAACTGGTGGCCATTTTATTGTGGAGGTACCTAATAGGAGGCCATCGTTACCTCTTATGAAGGGATGGACAGTTACAACCATGCCTTCTCCGAGATTTGAACGCGGGTCCTTCGGTATTATTGTCCGCACCCCTAACCACTATACCATCTGGGCGGCTCGTACCGAATCTGTCTCGTGTCGATGTTATACTAGTGTCGATCTTACGCCGCGTTTGCCTTGCCGATTGTATGCCACATCGGTGTGGTACCAGTCCCATGCTAGAGTCAATTTTAGGTCAGCCACACCGATCGGGAGAGGGTAATCTGGCAACCAACTATCCACTAGGTCAATTTGCCAAGGCCAGCCATTCCGATCGGAAAAGAGAGGGTAATCTGGCAACCACAAAGAAGGAGAAGCGTGGATGATAAGAGTAGCGGCATGCACGTGGTTTGAGGTGTGGAACTTTTTGCAACTGAAATGGAATATATTCGATGTTCTTCTCTGTATTCTGTTAAAAAGAATGAGAACACTATGTTGAAAATATGAAAAGTGTTTTAAGTCACTTAGAGAAAACGATCTTTTATGTAAAAAGCATAAATATATTTTTCTTTTATTACTTTGGAATGAGTGCGCAGTTTCTTTTCTTTGTGTCGAAAATTAAGCGAAGAACTCACAATGTTCAGATGTGTAGGTGACGGGTACATCACAATGGTATACGTCCAACTATCCGTAACGGATTAAGGACATATACCGAGGCGCCACTGTAGTTCTGAAATTAATTTCTACAGCACCTACAGAAATAGCTCATGATTCATTTTTAGTTTAAATTTGAACTGCATCAGTCTTATACAATTTTTGACTGATGGCAAATGAATTACTGATGATAAATTAATTTTGTTTCATAAATTTAACCGGTGATAAATTAATTAAAAGAATAAGTGAAGGAAGACCTTACAACATCACATGAAAAGCAACACTCTAACTAAAAGAGACAATTCTTTTTTTTTTTCCTCTTTTTATTTAATTTACATTTTTATTAAAATACATTGGCATGGATTAATTTTTCGCCAACATGTAGATTTACTGGATGACCAGCCAGTGGAAATCTTTTTGTTCTGATTGCAATATCATGCCATTTTTTGGATGCATTTCTCTCGATTGCAAACTGATGCTGCTGACCAATGGCGGAGTGGAAAAGACCGCTAGACGCTGGTATTTCCATGTGACTTTAAATTCCTGAGAAAAGGTTTCGTGCGTATTAAAGCTGTCTTTAAATGCAATAGCACTATGAGCCGGTTTTCATCAGAAAATCCTTCACGAAGGCATCAGTACCTTAGGCAGATAGCCATCGAGTGTTTTGTCATAAATAAGCACACAGAAAATTTGATACTATATTTGTTAAATTTAGACTATTTACAATGAATTATTTCAAAGGCAAAAGTATTTCGTCCAAGAAGGAAAATATTGTGTTTTTCTGGTTAAAATTTCTTTGAAATGTTCTTATTTAATAAAATTTAAAACATGTTTCGGAAAATAGCATGCTGTTGAAATTCAAAACAGTTATCTTGAAATCAACTTTTTTTTTTTTTCTTAAATCATTCAGCAATTAAAGAGAAAACGAAACTGACCTAATAACACAGCATATGAAACTTAATTTTTCCCTTCCAGTGACTATCAAAAGTCAGAAATTTAATCTTTAACTAGTATTGTCGAAACTTTGCGGGTAATCGGTATCTTCACGGTTTGCAGACACACAAATAATATTTTCTTTTCCAGGACGATTTTAAATATAAAATTCAGTTATTCATAAAAATCATTAACATTTTAAGATAAAAAAAAACGCTTGTAATTTCACTAAAAAATAGAATATTCATTGGATGAATGTGATAATAATGTCTTCAAACCTGATACCATACTAGATGAAGATTAAATTTCAGAGTATTTAATCATTCTTGATTGTGACTTCGGAAGATTATATTACTGCGACTTACGTTGATTGTTCACATTTCGTTCATTATACACATGAAATTATGCTTCCTTAGATTTGTATAAACTTCGCAAATGCCACAGAGTAATCCACTTGAAACATGTTTCTGGAAATCTGCAATAATTTACATCTCGTGGAAATATTCACTGAATTCGTAATTTTTTTAGCGAACAGAAGAGCATTCAATATAAAACCAAACATAATTATTTATGAATTCTAAATACTTTGAAAGTTACTTATAATTATACTCTTAAAGTTAACTGATGAAATGGCTCGAAAGATATGCAGAACTGTGATTTTTTTTTTTCCTTCCCGTGCAGAAAAAAAAAAAAAAAAAAAAAAAAAAAAAAAAAAAGACAGAATTTCAATTTAAAGGTGAACGACAAAATAAAACCTCTTTCGAAATGAAATAAAAGAATTCCGTAATCTACAGCAAAATACTGAAAAATATCTTCCTTCTTCTTGAAAACACAGCTAAACCCATCGTTCCATGTCCTTACCATTCCTTGTACTCTGTCCTATCCAGTGTGCTTATTTTCAGCGGTCGGCTTCCTCTGCTATACTTTCTGGGACATTGAATCTCATGCTATACTTTGTAGGAAAATGGACGATTTAAGCAGAGCATTTGTTACCAACGATATCAACGGTATAGATAGGATAGTTCTCCAATGAAGGACCAAGAAAATGGAACGACAACTAGTTCAGAAAAAGAAGGCCATTTTCAACAGTTATCCACAGATACTCTTAGATTACAGACGCGACTCTTAGATCCTATACATAACAGACACTATTTACACAACTTCAGAATGAAATTTCTGAATTATAATTAATACTTTGCATAAAAATAATTATTTTTTAATTCCTTGTACTTCTTTGTAAAGCAGCTTCTTTATTTCGCTGGAAGCATAGTAATCGCGAAAAATTTCGGGTATCATTTTCAACGAAAATATTCTTTTTAACTGCTCATGAATCTATTTGAATGTTTTTTTTTTTTTTTTTTCTTTTTCCCCATGACATCTGTACGTAAGAATACAAAAATGGCCTCTTTTTTTCAAAACGGATCGTAAAATGGATTTAGAAGAATTTTTTTTGTGTCGTCTGTACCTACCTATATGTGTATCTTGCATAACTCAAAGACGAGTAGCCGTAGAATGTTGAAATTTTGTACATAGCCATAGGTTTACAAAATTTCAACTACAGCACTGCTATAGAATCTTCTTGTACACCACTCTCTTACCTGGCTCAGTGATGTCAGTTTTTACTTTCATATCATAGTAAAATATGCATTTTTTGCTTTAAAAAGTAGTTGAATTATGCTGTTTTTATGTTCCAGTTAAGGTTTATGCATAAAACGTAAGACGACCATTTTTTGTTCAAAATGATAGTTTTCGCCAAATAATTCTTTTGAAATATTTTACAGTTTAAAGATCTTTCCATCAAATCGATAAAGCGTCTAAACAGCCTCTGTTATTTGAAACACTGTAATTTCCTTTTTTATATAGACTTTGGAAAAAGTTTTATACTTTGTGCAAGTGAAAAAAATGAGCATTTGCTATTAAAATGGAGAATTTCTTACCATGTGTCCCGAATCTACTAACGTAGGAACCAATTCCTTTTTGATAAAATCAAGTACCTGAAACATAAAGAGCAATTTTCACTACAGTTTTACTCTTTGAAATTATAATATGTACAGGAAAAATATGAAATTTTAATGTAATTTGAACAGAAACTTGATCTTCAGCAATTTATGTCTCTTTTAAATATGTCTGGAAATGAATTTAAAAATAAAATGAATGGAAGAAATTTTTACAAGCTATTATGTTTTATAATTAGATTTTAAGACAACGTTGCCAGATTTAACAGGAATTTTCGCACACTCGAATGCAAAGTAAAATGTGTCTTTCTTATAAGAAAATGAGAAGAAGATAAATTGTAAAAAAAGTTGTACCCAAAAAGTTACCCAAAAAGTTAAAGAGCTGTGGCTCCAAGAAAAAGTTCAACACAGTACTTAAAAAAAAAAAAAAAAAAAAAAAAAAAAAAAAAAAAAAATGACATTGAAGGGTGAAAAAATTAGGCTACACGCGAAATAAAATGTAGAATATAAAACACAGTAAAATACTAATCGTAGGAAACAGGTAAATGGCAAAAAGTACAGTAAAATACCTATCGATGTGATAAGTGAAAAGTTAAAACATATAAAAAACCGATCGATGGAACAAGTTAATACAAATAAAACAAATAAAAACATATGAAAAAACATAAAATTATCAAAATTATAAAGCGGAAAATGGTAAATTAGCTCAATTCGATGTCCAACCTGGCTTTTCAAGGGAAATTTCTAGTTAAACGTCGAACCAAGCTAACTCCATTACGCGTTTCGCCGAAACAGACAATTGAAACTTTTGTGTTACGAAAATTTTTTTATCATTAGATGCATTGTCCTAAATTTTTTTTAGTCTCAATTCTCTGTTCCAATTTTCCGACGCGTCCGCACAAAATATAAGACCTTAAATAACATTAAGGTGTAAAAAATGTAAATGCAACTCCGATGTACAGCAATAATTAAAATAAAATAAAAATAAATAGCTGTCTGCTATTAGTCAAACTATACAATAACGTACGGGCTGGACCTGCAAACTTAAAGAATAAGAGTAGTAGAATTGGCCATCAAAGTAATTTAAAACTATTTAAACAATAGTAATAAAAGTATTGTGCCAAAATTTTTTGGAGGAAAGAAAACGTAGTGACAAGAATTATCTGTACATTTTTACATTAGATTCTCAGAATTAGCCATCCACTTTATACCGTCCCATTGGGCTTTAAGTATAAAATTTCACTATCTAACTCAAAAAATCTAAAAATTGGTAAGGCTAATGCCAGCTTTTTTTAAGGTATTTTTAATTATTTTTTAGGAATTAGGTTATTTTTCAAAATTGTCACGAAGTATAGTATTTCTTCTTGAAGGTGTTTTGTTGTATTGCATATTCTTTTTATTATTCTAAGTAGCTGTGAATAAATTGTGTTTAGGATGACTCTTTTGGAAATATTTGAATTCCAGTTGGTTAATTTTAGCTACTTTTATTAACAAATCGGGCCTTTTCGTTTTTCATTGTAGCTTGATTGCCCTCTAGCTTGAAGAATTACGACTTTTATTAACAAATGACTGTTTTTTCCATTTTACTCTTACTTTCGTGGCCATGAGTAATTTTAACTGAATTAGCCATTTTCACATTTAGGAACAGTTTTATTCTTCAGACAACTTGACTGACGCCATTTTGAAATCTTTCCACGTCTTTTCGAGTCTTTCAACCCATTTTAGCTTGGGGACGAGTTCCCGCCAACGGACAGTCTAATCCCATTGGCTACTGCCCAGTGACATTGTTTCCTCCGCCTTACGTCACACAACGAGTGAGATAGCGTTGAAGGACACAGAGTGGAATTGCAACCCCTTTTCAGCTTTGCTTCACGATCAAGAGGACTGCATAGCCACAGGTCTGATTTTTATGTTTCTTTTACAAAAAATTTTTTCTTGGTCTTAGCAAGACCCAATGTGTTTGTTTTCATTTAAATTTACTATCAGATTTCTAAAATCTATAGCTTGCAGGTGCAGCCCGTACGTTATTGTATAGTTTGACTAACAGCAGACCGCTATTTTTTTATTATTTTAATTTAAGTATTAGTTTGTACATCGGAGTTGCATTTTCTTTTTCTTACACCTTAATGTGTCATTTTGTGCGGACGCGTGGGGAAATTGGAACAGAGAATTGAAGACTCCAAAAAATTTTTTTAGGAACAATTCATATTAATTATAAAAAAATTTTCGTCAACACAAAAGTTTCAATTGTCTGTTTCGGCGCAACGCGTAATGGAGTTAGCTTAGTTCGACATTTAACTAGAAATTTCCTTTTGAAAAGCCAAGGTTGGATGTCAACTAATTGGAGCTAATTTACCATTTTTCGCTTTGTAATTTTTGATAATTTTCATAATTTTTGCAATTATATGTTTTTATTATGTTTTAATTTGTATTTTAACTTGTTCCGTCGATCGGTTTTTTATATGTTTTAACTTTTCTCTTATCACATCGATAGGTATTTTACTGTATTTTTTGCCATTTACCTGTTTCCTACGATTAGTATTTTACTGTGTTTTATATTCTATATTTTATTTCGCGTGTAGCCTAATTTTTTCACCCTTCAATGTCATTTTTTTTTAAAAAATACTGTGTTAAATTTTTTCTTGGAGCCAGAGCTCCTGGTAACTTTTTGGCTAGCTAACTACAATTTATCTTCTTCTCATTTCCTTAAATTTTCAGCATATAGCGCAAAAAATTTTTAGACCAAATAGGTCTTTTTGCATAGCACTCACTACCTAGCTTTTTAATTTCTTATAAGAAAGATTTAGCTTCTCCCTCACTTCTTGACAAATTAAATTTTTCGGATTATTTTTTGAAAAATTAAAAATGCGTTAATTTAAGTTATAACGATAAAGAAATATCGGGTTAGTAAGACAGTAACTTCGGCTTCCATAAATAGAAAGCGTTATGTTCGTTTTGTTATTCTTCTGTCAATCTTGAAATTTTTCTTTTTTATTTGAGATTTGGCAGCTGACACTTTTAAGTCGCTATAGAAACAAATTCTGCATATTTTTGTTCACAACCAATTTTAACATGGGGTACAAAAATAAACATTTTCGACATATTTTGCCTTTTTTATTTCCCTAAAAGCCAGAAAGCGGTTGAGGCTTACGCATATGGTGAGTTTATGGCGGTGATTGTTTAACAGAACGCATGTGTCAGAATTGGTTTAAAAAATTCGTTCTGGGGATTTTTCACTTGAAGGTTATAAGGTATTTTCTCCCTCCTTTCCGCATGCCTTCATGGTGTAACTGGAAGCATACTTGACGCGTATTCGAGAGGTCCAGATTTCGATTCCCGGAGAGGGTACTGCGCATTTTTCACCTATCCAGCTTCAAAAACACCAAATGACTCTACAAGTGGCGTCCCATCTGAACGGCGGTTGACGATAATTCGTCACCACTAGGATCTGGCGATTGGCTTCCCTGATTTCAGTCACCCTTTAAAACGGAAAGTAGGTAAAGTACAGGGTTATCCAAATTAAACTTCCCCAACTCAGAGGCCTGTGCAGAGTGTTGTATGGGTCATAATGTGATGAAATTTTAAAAACAGACACTTCCGATGATTCGCTCGAGATTTATTTAAAAAACAAAAACAATTAGTACAAGAAGTTGCCGATAGGTGGCGCTGCAGATCACAAGACATTCTACAGATGTCTATATGTGTATTGTGGTTCTCCACAACTCTTTCCATTCGCAAAGCAGTGTGTTCCACAGCGGAATGCAGTAAGTCCACATTAATTCCACGAACATGTCGAATAATTGCTAAGGTTGCTGGGTGTTCTCGGTAAACCCGATCCTTTAAGAATCCCCATTACCAAAAGTCGCATGGCGTGAGATCAGGCGAGCGGGGAGGCCAAGCTGTAGGGAAACAGCGGCTGATCACACGTGCATCGGTAAAAGTTGCCCGTTGAATGCCACGAAGAATATGGGGAGGTGCACCATCCTGCATAAATATCGCGTCCTGGAGGCGGCCACGTTGTTGCAGTTCAGGGATCACAAACGTTGTCAACATGTCTTGATACCGTTTTCCTGTGACGGAGCGGCTTTTGAACCCTGTTGGAGTCACCTCTTCAAAAAAAAAAATAATGCCTAATGACGAATGTTGCAGTGAAACCGCACCATACAGTAACCTTTGGAGGGTTCAAGGGCACTTGATGGATTGCGCGCGGGTTTTCACTTGCCCAAATGCGGCATTTGTGCGTATTCACTTGACCATTCAGGTGAAAATGGGCCTCATCCGTCCAAAGGATGTTCCACGGCCAAGCAGCATCGACTCTCATCCCTTGTAAGGAACTGCAACGCGTTCCTGAACTAGTAATGTGCATATTGCGCAATCACGTTGCTGCAATATGCACATTACTAGTGTTACAGCGCCACCTATCGGCAACTTCTTGTACTAATTTTTTGTGTAATAAATCTGGAGCGCATGATCTGAAGTGTCTGTTTTTAAAATTTCATCACATTATGACCCATACAACACTCTGCACAGGCCTCTGAGTTCGGGAAGTTTAATTTGGATAACCCTGTATTTTCTTCTTTCCGCGTGCCTACGTGGAGTAAATGGAAACAGTGGAGTAAATGGAAAAACAGCAAGAATTCGCAAATCGCCAAGGAATCGTGCTTCACCACGAGAATCTGAGGCTTCACATATCTTTAGCAACATGTACGAAATTACTGGAGCTTGACTGGGCAGTGATGTCGCATCCCTTCCTATAGCCTCGACCTTGGACCATCGAATTATCATTATTTGGAAGTTTACAAAACTTTTTAAATGGTAAAAATTTAAGTGATAAGAAATGACCTCAAATTGCACTTGGTGTAGTTTTTTTGCTAATAAAGACCAGAAGTTCGATGAGTGCGGAATCAAGAAGTTACCAGAAAGATGGCGAAAGATTGTAGAGGCATTAGGATTTTTTGAGAGGCAAGAGTCATCTCTCTTGAAAATTAACAACCGCCTTCGCCGGGAATCGAACCACGGACCTCTGAAATACCGGCTCAGTGTGCAGAACCACTACACCACGAAGGACGCTAGGAAAGTGGGAGAAATACCTTATATACTCCCCTTTTTAAAGAGCGACTAGGGTTTTAGGGGGACCTAGTCGCCAAATCCTGGGTGTGGAGAATCATCATCCACAACCCTTTTAGTTCGGGCGCCACTGTAGAGGCATTAGGATTTTTTGAGAGGCAAGAGAGATGAAAAATTAACAACCGCCTTCGCCGGGAATCGAACCACGGACCTCTGAAATACCGGCTCAGTGTGCAGAACCACTACACCACGAAGGACGCTAGGAAAGTGGGAGAAATACCTTATAAGATCACTGAACGGAATGGGAGATATTTGACTGATTAAAGTTTATTTTTTTGTACATGAAAAATTACGTTTTATTTAACACTAAGAAACCGAAATTACTTTCTTGCCAACCGAATACCGATAACAATCAGTAAACTATTTGCCATGAGGTATCAGGGCCGTATCTGCAGACTTGGAGCACCGGGCAATAGACGATAAGGCGATCCCTTTATTGCTTCTCCCTTAACCAATTTTTTTAGTCCAAAGGGATTTGAATCCCGAAGGACTATTAGTTTCGTTTTGGCATTTTGCGTCGGACTCATAAATGTCGGTTCACTTTTCAAACTGTTGCCACAAAATGTTAGAGTCCTGCATTATATTGAAGAAAGAAATTAAATAATGAAAAAATCTGCATAAATGTATGTATATTTCTCGTATTGTGATAAAAACAACGGGTACATAGAGTCATCGAATTTTGAATAACGTAATCCTCCAACGAATATGAGCATGTGGAAGACCAAATTTGAAATTTGAAATTTGTTTATGATCGATTTCCTATTTTTTAAAACTTTGACGAATTTTTGATTAACAAACTCAAGGATTTCAAAGCGAGCAATGGCAACGTTGTGCAGAAAAAAACATTTTTTATCTCCAGCGCGTGAGTCTCTGTATCGGAAATTCTAAAGATATGCTCGTTTTAAAACTATTTTGCGATATTGCTGTTGCACTGGATCTTATGGTTTAAGTGCGAGGAACATGATATTTAATAAAGAAAGGTAACACACAAAATGTTAAAAAACGCCCCTTTGAACGTAATTTAAAATCTGAAACATTTCAGTTTTTTTTTTTTTTTTTTTTTTTTTTTTAAATTATGATTTAACATTTCCTTAATAATGAAAGTAGCTCTACACATGTAAATTTAATGAAATATTTTTCGATAAATTTCTCGTTAATTTGTGCTCTTAGGTGCTATTCTTGATTCTTGTTAATGTAATGACAGGCGAAGCTATTTGACGTCACCTAAAACGTAATGCAGGGTGTCTCACTCGAAAGAGGGCCCGGGAAAAGTGTGATAAAAATCGTATAATAAAAGGAAACGAAGCCAAATTTTTACATGACATACCTTTATGCTTAAAAAATGAAGGTGCATTAGAAGACGTCCTGGAAGTGATCTCCCCCTACCTGTACACACCCTTAAACCTTGTACGTATTACCTTTAAGCCGATTCCATTGAAAAAACTCAAGGGAGAAGTGGGAAAAGCGATTCTATCGCGTTCATATTCGCTACAGATGTGTAGCATGTTACCCAATCTTGCTGGTGAGCCCAAGTGTCAGCTCCTCGTCATCCAACTGGTTCACAAATTCATGAAAAAGTGCCTAGTACACTTCACTGGTGACAATTATGTAAAAAGCAATTTGCCTGGTGATGCGCCGCTGTGATAATGCACAAAACACACCCACCTTCTGCGAATGATAGGGTTCCTCGAAGCCTGCATGCTGGGTGTCACTATTCCATAAACGTGTGTTTCCTTTGTTCACGTATCCTGACAAGTGGAACCACGCTTCCTCACTCTACCATGTGTAATCTGGGTGCAACATCGTTTTGGACTGTGTATACAGGTGGGAGGAGATCGCTTTCAGCACTTCTTCTAATGCACTTTGGTTTCTCAAACATAAAGGCAAGTTATGTAAAAATTTGGTTTCATTTTCTTCTGTTATAAGATTTTTATGACACTTTTGCCGTGGCCTCTTTCGGGTGGGACACTCTGTACGAAATACATGCGATGTAATTAAGGTCAAATGTTTACTAGTAAATTATCCAGTACACTTTATATTTACACTTGGATTACAAAAATCTCTATTTTCTAATCTCTCTGTTTCTGGCGAACCTTTCCTATCCCATACTGCTTCACAAATAATTTTTTATTAATTTCAGTTTTGAGAATGATCGTTTAGCCTTAGCTTGAGTAACAAGAATAGTTAAGTACATGAGGCACGCTGTGCACACATCAGGAAAATTCGATAAAAATGAACTGCTATTTATTATCAACAATTCTGCCAATTCTTTGAGGCTTTGAATTTTTCTAATTGTAGAATCGTTAGAATTTTTTTTTAAAGCAGAAGTTGTGAAAAATGAGCAATGTCCTCGCCGGGACTCGAACCTGGACTCTCGAATACGCGCAGAGTGTGCTACCGTTACACCACAAAGACATGCAGAAAAGAGGAAGAAAATACCTTATACAATTAGATAACTTAATACTGAGCAATGTGAAAATATAAATATCGTTAGCCAAGTTTAATTTTCAATTTTTACTTTCTACGAAGTAAAGGAAATATTGTAATCGCAAAATTTTCGGTTATTATGTTTATTATGTTTCAACGGAAACATCCATTTTAACCGCCTCCAAATCTATTTGGATAATTTTTTTTGGGGGGGGGGAGGCGTGACGTCTCTACGTAAGGACAGAATTAAGGACTCTTATTTCCACAATGGATTGTAAAATGTATTCAAAGGGGATTTTTTTGGTGGCTTCTGTACGTAGGTACGATTGTTGGTCATAATCATATACTTTCGACTGTATAAGTATTTTAAATGACGAAAATATTCATGTTTGGGGGAACTCATATTTAAAAAAAAATTCATTTTGAACAAATAATGAAACTTAACTTTTAATACGAATATAACTTTTTCACTTGGTTCCTATACTCATTAAATTACTGGAAAAGTTTTATACTGGTTATGAAAAATTCTCATTAAACTACTGGGAAATACTCAGTAAAATACTGGAATTACTCATTAAATTACTGGGAAAGTTTTATACTGGTTATGGAAAATAAATAAATAAATAAATAAATAAAAATTCAAGAAGTTTGATTCCCTTATGACAGAAATTGACTGGGACATTTAAATTGAAAATTTGCGATTTTTGACATAATTTTCAACTTGCCTTAAGGAATCGGTTAATTAAATTAGAGCAATTCGAGGAAATAAGTTTAAACAAGGTGCAGCAAAAAAATGTGTATAATTTAACACGCCATACAAGAGAGTCATGTGGTGTCTACATCACATTTAAAAAAAATAAAATCTGCATTACCTAACTAAATAAATAATCGTCATGTTTTTCTTCTTTCTTTCACCGCTAAGACTGGAGCTCCTCGATAGTGCCCCGTTGGTAGTTACTGACGTGTGAGGTATATATGTAGATGGCAATCGAGTTCTTGCTGGACACTGCAGCATGAGGCCATCGATAATCTTAATAGCCGCCTGATTGAAATATCAGTTGTAATCTGGGCAGTTCATATTGCAGAATATCAAATCATTGGGAACGTAATATAATATTCATCAGACCTTTGTGAGCAGGAAGTTTTAAACGAAAGAACAGTATTCTAGTCGGACATCGGAAAGATCTTCCAGCTATTAAATGAATTAAAGGCAATCATAGTAGACCCAAGTAGCACATGACGTAGGAAAGATGTTGCAAACTGGTCAGAGACGTTGCAAAGTGGTCGTGGTAACGTCTTTGCTACGTCATGTGCTACTTGGGGGAAGGATATAAAGATTTGGTTTGGTTTGTGATTACGGTAGAGCAGAAGCGTAGCTAGAGTTTCCAGCGCCCGGGGACACCTGAAGAATTTGCGCTCCTTTCTGTGTGCCAAAAATGGAAAACATTTTATTAAAAAATTTCGTAACATGAATTTGGCGCCCTTTGGATGCTGCGCCCGGGGACAGATGTCCCATTTTGCCCCACCCTAGCTACGCTATTGCGGTAGAGCCTCGAGGGCTATCTGCCTAAGGGAAGGATGCCTTTCTAAGGTAAACTCACTCATATACACGTTACACATGGGAAAAACCACGAAAACGCCCATGCTGCCAGCCAGTTCGCGAGATTCAAGCATCGGACGACGCTCGGCCGCTGTTGGGCTCAAGGTTATCAAGGAGGAACATGTTAAATTCCATGCATTCGTTCCTCACATAAGGGCGACTGGAGGAGAAGGAGAGACGCAGCATGTTAAACCAAAGTAGTGACTTATTATCGTTTGCCACATTTTTAGTTACATCTCCGATGCATTACAATGTACGGCAATTTTGAGAAATCAGCCGTTCTTTCGCTAGGAGTTGAAGTCGAAATCTCACACCTGTTAAATGGATGACACTGGCAAGGACACGTGGAATCCTTGAAACTTCAAACACAATGAGTGTCATGCTTTTTGAATTACTGTGTATTTTATATGACCATTAAGGCTTCAGACCTAAAACTTTAAATTTCATATTTACATTCGCGTACGTTTTAATAATTTCTGTTTTGAAAATTTAAGTCTTCAGCCGACTTTTAAGATTTCACCTTGAAGATACGTTAAATATTTTTTACTTTTTTATTGCAAAGTGTGTCTGTTACACCCGGCTAACGACGGTAATGAAAATATTATTCCAGCATTTGCTGTTTAACGAGCTAAATGCATACGGTTTAAGTTTGAAAAGACATATACTGGGTCATTAAACTTACCTTTTTGATGAGGAAGAAGACGATATATTTAATAGCTGTGTCACTGACTTGTTTCTGTACGATTTCAAGATACTTCATGATAATTATTGTGATATACTGGACCTTTTGCTGAATACTTTCATTCTCCATCAGCTTCGACTATATGAAAAGAATAAAAAATAAAATAGTTCGTCTTTCGATTTCGACTTCGGCCACAGTAACCATAAAGAAGATAAGAGTGTACAGATCATAAATGAAATCGAATATATAAAAATTATTATTCAGTAAATTTTTCTAAGAACATTTCTTGAATGAAAAATTTTTTAGTGTTAAAAAATGTATAAACGGTAAAGGTGTCTTGAACAATAGTAAAAGAAATGATAAAGTGTTATTTCACGATTACAGAAATTCAAAAGGGACATTAAAATTCTGAGAGAGTGAATTAGGATGAAGGATGATTCTTTTTTTTTTTAGCAATAAAGTTATAATCTTTTTTATAACAAGAACATCTATAGCGCCAAAATGAAACAGGCGATATTAGGAATTTTTAAAATAAAATTGTAACTAAGGCAGTAGATTTTTGGAGGCACGAATTTTCCACATAAATATTATTTTTTTGAGAATTTTCTAATATCAGACTTTTCCCCCCGCGAATGTCAAATAAATCTACCAATTTCCAGTTTTTATTCTTATTTTTTATATAGTTATTAGACTAGCCTTATATTTAAATATTTTTTAAAAAAATTTCCATTAGAATTTCCACAAAAATACACAAGAAAGGAATTTTATTCCAAAATTCAAACCGGAATTTTTAACTCTCCTATATTTTACTGGATTTTTAGCTTAGCATGAAAAGTCAGTTACTGAAAGTATATCTAGTTACACTTCACCGCCTGTCGGGTATTTCTGTTTAACGGGATATTTATGTATTATCACTCTGTCCTGAAATTGTCGCCAAGTAGCGAGATATAACGCCAATTATACATAAGCGTGATCTCACAACACACTCGTAACACCTGGACTTTTAATTCCGATGCAAACCAGATCTGTGCTAATTCTACGAACAGAGGTATTGTTACGAATTTTTGTAAATAATTTTAGTGAAGTTATGCACAGAACGGTTTTAGTGATGTTATGTGCAAAACTTTTGTATAATATGAAATAAAAGTCTGAAGAGTCGAAGCTGAGCGGAAAAAAAAAATGCAGGGGTATATCCCCTATTCAACATTCAAATAAATAACTATTGCGCTAAATTGGCAAGATATCGCCAAGATGGCAATGTATTTGGCGAAAAATTTTTATCGCCGAATTCGGCGAGTAATTACCAAACTTAATGACCATTTGGCGACATTTTGGTCCGGTCCCTCTATAAGTAATCGATACTGTAATCGATCCCTTTATGTAAGTGTAACTGTATCCGATCCTTAAATGTAACTTTAACCATATATGCCTTCCAGTAATTTCAAGAAACGAAAGGTACTAGAGATTTCTCGGTGGCCGGGAGAAAACTATATCAAACCGGAAGCATATTTCACAAGTGCACATCAGCGTAACCACTGAGGGAGGAGATTCGAAAATGGACCAATGAGCTGCTGTTGCTCTTGTGACGCTAAATCTTCGTGCATGTAAGCATATGTTGTTTACGTTTTAATTTGCATTTGTTTCACAGTTATAAATATATGGCGTAATAGTAGAAATCTTGTAGTGCTTTCGTTTTCTGAGTTTAATTAATCGCTGACATTTCACTTTCGCGATTTTTATCACGCATTAATATTTGGATTGATGTTCACTGCATATTATGTGGATTAAGAGAATTCAAGTGTGTTACATATAATCTGATTATATCCACTGCTAACATTAAAAATGATATGTAAATAAATTAAGTATATATTCGTTGTGAGTAAGATAAATTCACTCTGTTTGATGAGTATTATTTCTTGTGTAGACAGTAAATTTAAGATCCAGTTATTAAATGAGAAATTTAACACATTAAATGTATTTGAATGCTAATTATTAAAGTTCACTTTGAATAAAATTCTGCATTGCTTATTATTATATAACATCTTTTTCATATAGACTGCAATAAAAAGTGCTGACTTCTATTTCCATATAGAACTGGTGTAAGTATTTTTCTCATACGCTTAGTTTTATGTAAAGATTCCATTTGGGCTCAGATGTTTATCACATATTTCTTTCTTCATCTTATTTACCACTTATTAAGTAATATTTCACATCGATATTTTTGCGAAGTATCCAACATGTGTTTGTATTTATTTCAACCATGTAGTGAAATCTTCATAATTGCCTATATTTGAACTAACTCCTCAATGAAAAGTTTCAGAAGCAATCGACGATGCTTTAATTATTTTGTACAGAAAATTGTGTGGCAGAAAATTTTCAACCATCTTGCTTAATCTTAAAGCACGCGAAAGGTCATGTGACATGACAGAAATATCACAGGATGCTCATTGGTCCATCCTAGAAGCCACTCCCTCGGTGGCTACACAGATGTGCACTTGTGAAATATGCAAACCGGAGAGACCACTAGCTCTCAGTTGTTAGTTCAGAGTCGACTACGGAGTATTAAGAGATATCCGTGTGAGCTTCGCTCTTTAGATGCGCTTTGCATTGCTTTATCTATAACGTTCTTAGCAGTTTGGAAGTGTAACTACTGATTATACTCTGTGATACTAAGAACATAGCTGTACGGCTATCTTTGCGAAAAACTCCAGAACTGTAAAGAGTTCCTTTTTTTATCAAGCTACCGTCGGTTCTGTGTTCATGCGATCTATTACGAGTCTGTACGCAAGCAAAAATGTAACTCAATTGTTATTACTTTATTTTTCCCTTGCAATTTTAAATAGGATTTAGAATTTGGGACCCCAATTTCTACAGAATAACAAGCAATGTAATGTTTTCAAAGTTATGGGATCTTACCATAAAAAAGTGTCTAATGGACACAATATCGTATCTTATTTAAAAACAAATCAAAAATGGCGAAACAGTGGGATATATTATGACAAGAGAAAATCCATTCAGAAAAGAAGTTCGCTCGAGGGCTGTGGAATCTTATTTGGCACTGCACTCCGGTTCATATAGAGCTAATCGAGAGAATTAACATCTGTTAAATAAGGAAAAGAAAGCCTGAATGTGACTGAAAAAACAGTAAAAAGATTGGAAAAACTAACCTGCCTCATAAGTTTGTACTCATGCCATTTTAAGCTGAGATTGCAGTAAAATTTGACGCAGAATTTAATCATTAGCTTTGTTAATTAACGATTAACTGAACTAATATTTATGCAAGTTTTTTATGTGCTGATTTTATAATTTGAATCTCTCCATTGTATAATTAAGAGTGACGTGTGATTGCTTTTTTTGAAAAATAAAGACGCGTCAGTTCCTTCAGAATTCCGCAGGAATGATTGGTAAAAGTTAAACGGCATCTCTGCCAATTTTTCTTGGTTCCATGGTAGCCACCTTTCAAGTCTGACGAGATAAGACGTAAGTATTAAAAATGGTAATCTTGATGTCAAATAACCCTGACGAATATGTTACGAATCAAATGTTTCGAGAATGGGATAAGTTTATAAATGTTAAATTTTAATAAAAAAACGTGTGATACTTGGGTCGTTCAATAAAGTTTGGAATAAGACGAGTAAAGTAATGGAACATATTTCAACTGGCGAAATACATACACGAATATTACAAGCAAACCATTCTCGAGGAGTGCTGCAGATAGCCTGCTGGCATTTCCTTGTTTCCAGAGATCATCAACCGTGTTTCTTTTCCTCCATCTTATCGAGAAATGCACAGTACGAAATAACAGTTCCTGGCACATTATAACACACTGTTGTTTCTGCAAATCTGTGAGCTTCTGAGCTCAAATTTTATGCATTTTCAAATCTTAATGCACTACTGTGTCTAGAATTTTTCTGCCAGTGTCCATTGACCTCATTTTCGATATCTCAGTATTGTGGGGATTTATTTAATTTATTGAACAGTTATTTTGCGTTCAAACAACTTTCAAATCTCTCTTGCTTTCAACTCAAGCTTGGGAGCAATGCTTGCCACCAAACTTTCCTGCCAGAATGCATATCGAAGGGATCTTTAAACCCTTCTTCTGACTTTGTGGTACTTTAGGAATCAATGAATATTCACTAAACAGTCTTCTAACGTCTAGTTCAGTTTATGATAGCCATGCAGACAAGACCTTATAATATCAAGCTGTACATTTGCTGTACTGCGGCCGGTATACACCTCAGTACTGATTTACCGCTGTACATTCCTTTCAGTACACTTTCATTTAACCCGCTGAAGTTCCTAATCCAGCTGAAAACACTGTTTTGTGCAGGAATTTGTTTGTCACTCACAACTAGGTATATAATATTGTTGCGTGCGTACACAGAACCGACGATAGCTTCATAAAATTTATTTTACCGAATGAAATACTTTACAGTTTTGAACTTTCCACAAATGTACTCGTACAGCTCTTCTCAGTATCACACAGTTCAATCAAATTCATCTCTGAACTAATAACTGAGAAACTGATACTCTCTTAGGGCTCATTTCGTTTTCCTCAGGCCGCAAAGAAATTTCTAGTACCTTCCATTTGTCGAATTTACTGCAAAGCATATACGGTTAAAATTGCACAAAAAAAAGCCTGATACGGTTACAGTTACACATAGGGATCAATTACAGTTACAGTACTAGTTATAGTTATACAGACACTGGACCAAAATGTCGCTAAATTTTCGCAAAGTTAGACTACTTTTTGCGGTTTTTCGGCAAAATTTGTAGCCGAAACCTTGGCGATATCTTTCCAGTTTAGCGAAATGGCCATTACTCAGTGTTAAATAGACTTGTCCCCTGGAGTCCTATTTTTTCCGCAGAGCATTGTTCCTTTCAAGCATTTCATGTTGCATTATACGAAAAATACTACAATTTCACTAAAATTATTTACATATGTACAAAATTTGTAACAGTATAAATAATCGGTAAAAGTCAAGCAATTTACTCGTAGACGTCAAGAAACTGTTGAGAAACTACCCATTTACCTATTAGAAATAAAGAAAAATGCAGAAGGTCATGCTATCCATCAGGTAAACAGAATGTTCAGCTTCAATATTAACATCGAGAAGTTCTCGCCTAGAAAACGCCCAATACAGTGCTTCCGATGTCAGGAATTCGTGCACTTACAAGTCTGCAATAAACCTCTAAGATACTCTAAGTGCGGCGAACAGCACCGAATCAACCAGTGTACTCTCAAAAAGGAAGAAAAGCCAAAGTGTATTTTTTGCGGATCTGACCGTGTCAGCAGCTACCGTGGGTGTAGCGCCTACAAAAAGAAAAACGATTTGAGCAAAAGAGACAGCCTGCAGAGCAGAAAAAACAAACTCCCATAGAGAAAGTTCCTGAACTCAATACTGAAAATTTTCCTGGTATTTCAACCAAAGAGATGAATGCAGTTCAACAATCTCTTCCAGGAATTTCCTACAGTGATAAAATGAGAAGAAAAATTAAACCACCACCTGAAGATTTAAATGAAGCCCTCACCTGGATGCAAGATGGAAAAATCATGAACTTTTTAAAAACTGTGATTTCTCTTATCGAAAAGATCGAGAACGCAAAGTCAGCCTCCGATAAACTCAGATTTGTTTTCCAAGCAGCGATGACAATAATAAGATTTGCTGAAGAAGATTAATCTCTGCAGACACCACCACTAGATGGCGACTCCATCACTGATCAGTTAACCCTAATCTCGACTTTCCGGCAAGCTTCCATTCACGCAGATAGATGGCGTCACAGGAGATGATCTTGGAACCCGAACTTTTCCTGTCACCAACACCCCTCCAGTACGTTACTTGCTCTTTCTCACTCTTCTCTTTCTCTTCTACTACCACCCTTATTCTTCTCAGATTTGCCAATGATTCTTCATCCTCTTTTTTACTCAGCTGTGATTTCTCCCAACACTCACCGTCTCGGAACGAGGATCTCATGTTGTACCATGAACTCACCAGCCATATGTAGGCTTTCCTTCTCTCTGGTTCCCTCTGGTTTCCCTCAGCTCTGCTCATCATTACTCTTCCGATGTGGAGGTAGATGATTTGATTACCATAGGGACTCCGAAATTTTTCCTCATTGGCATTATAAATAATCAATCAAAAAATCTCCCAAAATTGTTAGTGAAAATTCCAGGCCGCAAATGTTTCGTAAATTTCTGCAACTTGCATCGCGACTGTCTCATGAATTTTCGCTTTTTATATGTTGAACGTTTAAAGATAATTGCACGGTTGTTTATAGTTCTAATTCAAATATAATAGTAGCAAAACAGTTGCAAATATTGTGAGAATGAACAGTCTGTAACGTGTGAGTTTTATGGAAGTACAATATTCTTAAAAAAAGAAAAGGCAGATAAAACTAGTTGGACAGTTAAAAAAAAAAAAAAAAAAAAAAAAAAAAATTATATAATAACCATTTTAAAACCTAATGTAATGAATGCAGTATTACAGTAGATGGTTATCACATTTTTCTCCTCTAATTTTTATCGAATAATGATTAAATGTTTTGAAATATTGATGAAGAAGACGAGAATGTGACAAACAGATATGAACTGAGCACTATGTTGGCAAGATTTTGGGTTCGGTGCAAGCTTGCCACCTAACTTCATTTTCTAAAATAGTGCAATACCTGTTGTAACAAATTTTGTACTTAGACAGGTAATTTTAGTAGAATTATAAGTAAAGTAGTAGTATTTTTCTGTGTAAATGTAGGGCGAGACAAATTTTAATAGAAAGCTCTACCGAAAAAGTAAGAATGCTGGCACAAGTGCATTAAACATTGAGCAAATGAGTATCTCGGTAATTTGGCGATACATAGCCAAACTGACGACGGTTTTGGAGAGAAGTCGTAGAAAGTCGCCGCATTTGGCGATATTTTGGTCTGGTCCCTGTATCACCGTAATATGTATTGAAATTAAATAAATGTAATTGACCACTATGTTTGCTGTAACCGTAATTCCATCCTCGTACTGCTTTCCATTAATTTCGAGAAGCAGAAAGTACCGGAAATATCTAGACGGAAGATTGTAAACTGTAAAAGCCTGGAGAGAGAGCACCTGCTCTCAGTTGCTTAGTTATTGTTGTTGCGATTTGTTATAGTTCCGCGTGAACTGTGATACATCCGATTAGCTTTCTCTTTAGATGCATTGGATTGTGTTTAATGTTTCTAGTAGATAGAAATGTACACTGTGTGATACTTGTACGAATATTTTTGAGGAAAATTTCAGAGTTCTGAAATATTTTGATAAAAATAAATTTTTGTTGACCTATTACCGGACTTGTGCATTCAATCAATTACGAACCCGTGCGCACGCAATACTGTTAATTGAAGCACAATAATGATTGTAAGAATATGAACACTTTGCATATTCTTACGATCATAATCTAAAAACAGGATTATTGGATTACAGAAACAAAAATTTGTGATCAGTTTGAAATAAGAAGAAATTTATGATGGGTGAGTGAACTTACCGTTAAATTCGCAGTAGTGCAGTTTTCTACTTTCCCAGCAGAGTCCCATATTTTCACAGGTTCAGCAACTGGCTTAACAGGTTCGCACCTGCAATCGTCGAAATCATTTATTCTACGCTGCTGTAGAAAGAAAATGTAAAACTATGATAATATGCTCCAAAGGACATAGAACGTTGCATTTGGTCCGAGCAGTCATTCTGTTGAACAGTTACATATTGTTTAGCAGTTCCGTTTACAGTTAAAAGTTACATACCTGAACGTAAAGACTTTATTGGAAGTCATAGTAATAGCCAGCGTAACATTCATAAATTTTCAGAACCAGTTTCAAAGGTTTAAATATAGAACCTTCCTCTTCTTCAGCTGCAGAAGTGTAAATGATTTCATACGAATATTTCAGTTCTAATTAACTATGCCAATTATGATCCGTCTTTATCCTCAGATGCTCAGGAAATTATTTCGTAATTGTTAAAATCCAATTAATTGAAATTCTTTTATTTTTAATATCGATATTAAATTAACGGAAGGAAATTTTTATTCGTTTTTAATAATTCGAGGCTATTAGAGTTTGGATAATCTTTATGGTATTAAGTAAAAATGAAACAAATATTGAGGCTCATGTTAATGACATGGATGAGTCTACCGATTCTCAAACAGCTGTTCCATGTTCGGATGTATGCTGGTAAGCATAAGTCTGCGATCGGAGCATACATCAAATCGATTTCGGGACTTAGGTTTTATTTCAATCAGTGATGAAAGCCCTTTCTTGGACAAATACGTAGAAGAAAACACTTATAATTTTAAATAACTATAGTACAGTTCATAATATTCCGTTTCATTCATTATGAAGACCAGAAATTAACTATACCTCCTGCTTGGAATTTCATTTTAATTGGAATTTTATCATTTGCGAGTTCAATTAACTATTCTTTTTCATTCGATGGTAGTTTGTCTTTTCTAAAATCGCAATGGAAAAAAAAAAAGGCCATGAAATTTAATTATATTTATCGTTAGAAAATATGTTTGGAACTGTGACCTCAGAGTTTGGAGATGCAAATAGATGTCATTCATAATTCTTTCCCAATAACGATATAAGTTTCAACTAAAAGTATTCTATAATGTTGGAAATAGCGCTTAGTGTAAGGTACATTACCCAGTTAACCCACAAACCAAGTTTCCTCTCAAACCCTTTTAATATCCCATGGGTACTGAGAACAGCCAATGCTCAAGAGAAAGACATGACAAGACAAAGATTAAATTATTTTAGTTTTGAGAATACACTGACTTTATTGAGTTTTGAGAAAGATATTCCAGTGTACTTAGTCACACGCCTACAGAAAGAAATGATGTAAAATTTCGTTTCCAAATACCATGATATTTTTGGAAATCTGGGAGAACCATAGTTTGAGAAACGCTTACACTATCCTTAATATCCCATGCAGTGTTCACCGCCTAGAGATCTATAGATCGTGTAGATAGAGGAATGACATGGAGATTTTGGAAAGTATGCCTGCTGATGTTAGATGAATGTCGGCGTGGGTTATTCTAATGCAAATGTCCAGCTGGTATTCCTACGAAATAAAGTAATAATATAACCAGATGCAGCAAGATACAATTAATATACATTCATGCGGTGATTGCATCCTTTATGACTATTAGAAGTCATCAAATGTTGATGATGATGACATTGCAAACCACGACGTTGAGTTGGCAAGCAGTACGACGTTCAATAGTGGCAGAGGAATCGCTATGGTTTTACTCAAATTAAGTGATTATTGTAATTGAGATAAATCATGATGACTACTTAATACCATACTGTGCCTCAGGTAGCTCTGTTGCAGTATCACTATAAGATTTAAGGTTTGTGATTTTGGTGTTTACATTAGTATTTGGCGATTATGAATCTCAAAATTACTTTCAACTCTCATAAATTTTTCAGAGATGGTCAAATGCATTTTTAATTGATTAATTTCGAACATTGTTTCCACTTTGACCCGACTCTTCGTAGGTTTTTGAATCCAATAACGCTTTGCTCTTCCCATTACTGTTATTAACAGTAATTCGTATCTTTTGTCCATTATTTTATTAAATAAAAATCATGTATGTATTTAAAAACAATTAAAAATATTTCATTTTCAGACTGCAAATATAAATAAACTGAAAAGACAAATTATTGCAAGTATTTTTCAATATTGTGTCGCTCTATGTTTTGAATGAATAACAGTCGACGTACGCCTGGGAAAGGTTTCGATGAAATGTTGAAAGACATGACAGTATTGTCTTCTAATAATCCTGCAATTTCTGTCGCTAATTCGCCACAGAGCATAACAGTGAGTCCATAGAGGGAAAAGACCGTTGCAACTCATCTCGCAGATGTTCGACAGAATTCATATCTGGGGACCTTTCTAGCCCATGTGAATATCCAAACCTTAATAAACCAAACCTTAAACTAGTTGACCCGCTCACGTACAACGCGGACCGATGGGATGGTACATTATCCGTTTGAAGAAGCGCATCGTTCTGAGAAAACAAAAGCGTAATGGAGGGGTGCAGATGACAAGCCAGCAATTTATCATAGCTTGATCTCGTCAGGATTCCACTCAGCGTGACGAGAGATCCAACAAGGATCGCTGAAAGACGTGCAAGACGGTTACAAATCCGCCTGTCCAGTTACACTATCCACATCCATGTCCTATTTTGCAGGAAGGATGCAGTACTTTGTGAGGTTTACACCAAACAAAAATTCCGCCGTCCATCTGCAGAAGCTGGAATCACGATTCATCGAACCAGATGACACACTTCCAGACTTCTGCCTTCCAATGGCAATTTCCAATTGGCCAATTTGATAAATCGCAGAGGCAGCAATCTGTGTCTTTCCATTATCATTGGAGTTCTAGATGGCCGTCGGCTGTTACAACCGAGTTGCTTCAGTTGCTGACGAAAAGTCCTTATGAAGACGCTACGCGAAGCTCCTGCATTAAGATGTATTATAATCTGATGTAAGGTTGCGCTTCTCGCCATCGATAGGATATGATTGAGCCTTCGAGCAGTTCATACGTGAGTTGTTGGTTTACGATCATACTTTTCAAGATTCACGCTGGTTTGATCGGTTTTCAATTACTTCTTGCACATTCGTGCCACAGTACTGCGCGACATGCTTAGCAATCGGCAGCTGCTGATATCGAACACCCGGCCTTTCCAGCGACGGCAATCAAACTCCCTCATATCGCTGCCTTTACCTTTGATACCAATCTGTAAGGTTCCCACCAAAGCTCTGACATTTTTTTCTATAGGACAGACAACAGCCAATGGCTCTTTCAACATTGATTCCCACAGCCCCATGTTTAGTTATATGGTCGCATCGCAAATGTGGATAATAAGTTGTCTTTCCAATGTAAATATTAACGGCAGTTAAAAGAGAGTGCACAGCGCTGCCAGTGCAAGTTATATCGCAAATCGGCAATGAATTAGGTACCAGAACATCTATAAATATTTCGAAAAGCTAAATAATATAAATCAAGACATAATTAAAAATAAATTACAACGAAAATTACAAATCTCAATCCGAATACAAACACTAAGCCTAAACAAATTGTAGATTTAAATGAAGAATTTCCCAGGCGTAATAGATTGCGGTATATTCTTAATTATATACGAATTACGGAATATAATGAATTATGGCACTGTTGGTGCACGTCACGGAAGCTAGCTTCCAGAGTAATACGGAAGACCACTGATTCAATTCCTGGCGAGGAATAAACAAGAACTGAAAGAGGAAAGAGATTCCGACTATAATCTCTTTTTGCAATCAGCTTTTTAAAAATTAGTTATTAATTGCTTTTCATGTATCTTTTGGTCAACAGATGGCGCTAGAGGTTTCGTTTCTTATTGAACATTCTCGAATATTTTTCTGTTCTCACTAAGGCACATGTTTTCTTTTCTTTTCTTTTTTCTTTTTTTCTTTTTTTTTTTTTTTTTTTTTTTTTTTTTTTTTTTTTTTTTTTTAATATTTTTTTGAAAAAAAACACTTTTTAAATCATCTTTACATTGTTAATTGTTTGAAAATGTAGACATATCATAAATACATTGTTTATAGGTGTGCTCACATTTTTCAGAAATTCAGGATTAATTTTAAAATTAAAATAGCACTTACACAGCACCATCGAAATCAGGATGTCCCAGGTTGATGTAGCACATTTCTGAATCTATATGCGACTTTAATCTCTCTTTAGTACTATCAGCTTCTTTGTCAATGCAACGCTGCACCGCATATAAAACGTCGTTCTTCATATTTGGATATGGTTTCATCTAGGAATGAATCAAAGAATTTTCATCAGATTTAGTTTTTTTTTCGCCCTGCATTAGAAAACGTAATCTCTAATTCTATTAGAAAATCAAGTTTATGAAATTGCATGAGGATGTGAAATCTGTTTAAGTGCGAGGAGTTTTATACTCCCTTACCGCCTGTTTTCATGGTGTTATTGGAAGCACATCCGGCTAGCAATTGGGAACGAGTCCGGGCGAGATCATTGCTTATTTAAGGTGTTGCCAGCTGCAAAATAAACCTAACGGACTCAAAGTAGAAAATGCTTCTTTTTTTCTCTACCGACTAGCGATTATTATTTTAAATTAACCAGTTATTTTGATTTCGGTTTTTACTACAGAGGGTGTTTGCACATTTTTTAGACGATTTTTGCTTTGTTGGAAAAACAAATCTGCTTGGATATTTTTCTTTTATAATAGGGGGACCGGAAAGTAATGTCGTTTCTGCGCATGTCGGCAACAACATGCTCAGGGCAGAAGTGGAAGCAAATCCATGTCAAACACTTTTAACCAACCTTGGTCGAACATCCAAGAACAAGAATGGAAAAATAAGCAAAGCAGGTGTTTGAGCCCCCCAATAATCTGTCCGAAGAGAACAAAGCCAACCGATCCATCACATGCAACATATTGCTTTAATGGCACCATACAGAACCGTTTTTGGATCATTTGGATTACTGGAGACGAAAATTGGGTCCTATATGATAATCCAAAACGCAAAAGGCAGTTTTAATAGGGGTTACAAAGGGTTTACATCCCAAAAAGGCGCTTCTGTATGTTTGGTGGAGTATTCGCGGAATTGTTCATTTTGAATTGCTGAAACCTGGAGAAACTGTTAATGCAGATCTTTATTGCGAACAACTGGGTCGAGTGAACCAACCTTTAATCGAAAGATATCCGGCGACTGTCAATAGAAAAGGCATCATTCTGCAACACGACAATGCAAGACCGCTGTAATATCTTGTTATTTAATAAATAAATATAATTATTGTTGAAGTGGCAACGCCATATTTGTATTAAACCGTTGCTCAGCAACGTGAGATATCACCGTGAACTAGAAATAAAATTTATGTTCTACTAAGAAGATTGTCTGTTTTGTAAATTACTGCAAAATACATTACACCGCACTATGCAAGATGGACACTGGAAAAAATGAATGAATTGGGATGGGAGGTGCTGCATCACCCACCATACTCGCCCGATATCGTACACTCGGATTTCCATTTATTCCCATCCCTACAACATTTTCTTAGTGCCAAAAAATGTGAAAATTTGAATGATGTCCAAAATGCCATCTTGAGGTATTTTACTCAAAAACCAATTGACTTATATCGGTCCGGGGATTCAAAATCTGCACATTAGATGGCAAAAGGTTGTTGAATGAGAGTGATTACATTATTGATTAAAAATAAAAACGTGTTAAAAATTTATTCGTGTAATTTAATGTAAGAAAGCGACATTACTTTCCGATCCCCCTATTGCTATTATATGTTTGAAAGCATAAGTTATCGCCTGCTATTTGACAGTTTTGTTTTCATGCAAAATGTCGCTTTTATAGAAACAAAGGATGGAAAGCTATGTTTGTGTTCTTTGCGAAGAAAATCATTCGTATCTGGTTATAAAAAAACGTTGTCAAAGCCATTGCTTTTCGATATCTAAAGCTACGATAGGTAATGTTGTCAACAACAAAGAAAAAAATCGTCAAATTTTAGCTTCAAGTGGAAAAATTCTTCTAAATACGTATGAAGGAAAAAACGGAATGTTTCAAATGTTGCAAAAGTTAAGATCTTTAACGTTAAAAGAAAATCCGTTAAGTCAAGGACAGTTGCAAAATAATTAAAATGTTGAGTGCCAACTGTAAACAAAGTGATTAATGCTAATTTAAATCTTAAAAAAGCGAAAAAACATAAACTACAGAACTCTTTATGGGAAACATTTATCCAGACAAAAAAGAAAAAATATTGTCACAATAGACGAAACTCGGGTGTACTTAAATGACCTCAATAAAACGAGATCCATTTATTGCCATCAAAGAGCAGAAAAAATCTTAAAACATAATTCAAGGAATCTAAACAATGTTTTTCTAAGGCATTTATGATCGTTTCTTGTTTTCCATATAACGGCAAATTAAAACTGTAGAGAAAGGAGAAGGAGCCCACCAGCGGCCGAGCGGTAAAGACGCTAAACACTGGTAGTTCGGTCCGAGGTTCAAAGCCTGCGAACGGGCTGGGTGCATGGGCGTTTTCATGATTTTTCCCATGTGTAAAGTGCATACGAGCCACTTTCCCTTAGAAAGTCCTCCACGAAGGCATCTCCCTTAAAGCAGATAGCCCTCGTGTGCTTTGCCATAATCGAATAATCCAATTCAGAGAAAGGAGAAAATATGAAGACAATTCACATATTATCAAAAACATATTTTATACGCAATTTTTAAATATTAAGAAACGGGTATCAAGGCCATACTCTTCACTCATATCCTTATTAAATCTCCTGATCTATGGTCCATGTATTTTTGTGCTCCTGGACTTTTAAAATGTTGAAATTGTCCAAACGTCTACCTACAATCTCCTAAAACTTTGGAGAGCTGTTCGAGGGCAATGGGATAAAATACCTCTTCCTATACTACAAAAGGCTTTGTTGTCTTGGAAATTACGGTGTAGAAAGATAATGAAGAATACGGGTTACCAAACAAAACATTTGAAACGATAAAATTTTGGGCAACATATTTCTGTAATTATAATGACAATCATCTAAAAAGTGTGCGAACAGCTTCTACATCACTTCTTTCCCAATTCGTCATCGGGATGCAAATGAATTACCTATAAACTGCAGTTTTTGGATTTTAAAAAAGAGCGCGTTTCTGGCTTCACGTGCACGTTACGTGTTACTTTCCTACCAGCTCAGATAGTTGCAATTATTCGGCTTTGCATTCTATCGCTGCTGACACTTCGATTTTGCCATTCCGACAGAGTAGCGAGCCAGGTTCTAGTAATATTTAATTGTGTAGTCCTTGACTTCTGTTCAGTATTAGATTTAAATTTGGCGGTTCTGTTCATCACCGCGAGTGTAGTCTTATGGTGTAGCCCAGGAGAATGTGCTTGTGTTTGTGAAAAGGTTAAAATAACCATTTCATGTAAACAGAGTCATTTCACATCTTTGTCATTGTTTCAGACATGGAAATAATTCGCTTCACATCTGTTAAGGTTTTGGGACTACTTAACATTACCAGATCAAGTACAACCCAGAAGATTACAGATTAAGAGATGAATTATCTGCATAATGTACACAAACAGAATGACAGATAGTCTTCTATTACAAATAAACGGTAATAAATAAGTAACTAAAACTAACCTGGAGAATATCGTTAGGGTGTATGAAGTATACGTTAGGGTAAAAGGAATTGTTTACGGAATACTTCTAATTGCTCACTAGGGAGGTTTCAGTTTGAACATTACGGCTTTTGCGCGTTTACGTAACTGCGAATTTACGTTTATAACGTACTACGTAAGAGCTGGACAATTATTATACAGTGTTACCAATGTTCTGCAGCAAAATATATCCCATAAAACTGCTACTGCTACTGAAGTATTTTTTTTATTACACATCAATTGCAGATTTACACAGTTCTTCAAATTATACCCCGATCCAATGTCAGTACAGCACTGCTTTTATTAGCATATATTTTATGCCGGATTTTTTTTCCTCTCTCTCTCCACATATATATAAGAAAATTAAGAATATTTAAAAGATTAAATTAACAGCGTAAATTAATTTCCCCCCTCTATTCTAAAAATAGCAACATCTATTTGCACTGCGTCATTTCGAGAAAAATCTATGTCATATGACTCTTACGTAATTCTGGTGATGTAAATAGAACTAAAACTCAATCAGCCACTAGAAATTTTACAGCAGTATTAACTATCCAATCAAAAGGCTTTGAGAACCAAAACTAACTCAGTCTGACTTACGATTTCATCTTGAACATTACGCACTTGCTTTCCACGCTTTGGCCTAGCTACAGTGCTGTCTGTCTGCTACTGCTTTCTTGCTACAAAGTTATCAAAAATGTAAGCTTTTTGGAACAGGCACATTTAATGTGCCGACTTGTGTTTAGCCGTAAGATGCTGCTGAAAATAAAACTGAAAATTTAATCTGCCTTCACCTCCAATTTCCTAGTCATTATGGATCAACACTTCTACGCCATCTAAATTCCTGCTCTTGAATATATTACAACTGTTCTGCACGTTTAGGTAACTACGAATCTACTTTTAAAGTTTTAATTAATAATTTCCTCTCTCTCTCTGATTATTATATATATATATATATTGTGTAAGCTCGCCTAAAAGTTACCAGGAGCTGTTGCTCCAAAAAGTTCAACACGTTTTAAAAAAAATTAATACATATGAAAATCAAACCAGGCGAGCTTACTACAATTTCTAATTTACTTATTTTGCAGCATATTGCGCAGATGTTTTCTAGACCAAATTGGTCATTCAGTATTGTAATTACTACCTTGCTTGATATATTATATATATATATATATATATATATATATAATGTTGTATGATCTTAAATTCATTTAGTGCGAAAACAAGTTACTATTATCTTAGAAGAGTGAATCCATACTAGCAAGTTATATTTTGAAAGATGTTTTGAAGTAACTTGAAAGTAAAATGTTAAAAATATTTTAACGGGGACTGGAATTAAATCATGAATAACAAAATTTCAATTGTAAAAGGAATAAATCAAAGGCAAGAATTAAATTAAATGCATGTAATCATTGTCATTGATCGGAAATTAGTTGACTTTTCAAGGGGAACAAACCAACTTCCGTTCAGTGAACGATAATTAATAAATAAATACGAAGGTGTTTCGTCTTTACTCGAGCAATAAGTCTAAGCCAAACCGGCAATTCAAGTCAAGCCAAATATTTCCGTGAATAGAATGGATTATGAACCAATGCTGATATTCAAAGAACATATTCCTATGAAGCATTTTAGCCACTTCAATTTTCAGCAATTTCTGCAGTGAATTTCGAAAAAACTCGAGTAACCGTCTCCCGGCACCCTGGTGTTTATGCATTTGAGTTCAATATTATTTGTAAAAATTAAACACTGGAAATTGTCATTATGAAATAGAATTCATCGTAGTTGAAATAAACATGAGAAAATTACAAAATATAAGATAAATAATGCAAACTTTGTAAAAACAAATCAAAAATAATATAAAAATAAAAAATATAATAAGAAAAGTGAATGTACATGAAGATATGAAGGCCAGAAAAATTATTAATTAACTTACGTTCTTTCTAGTGGGGAGTGTTTTCTTCGCGTGTGACTCAGAATTGTAGTGTTTTCCAAAATTCTTAGCGGCAGCGGGGGTTTTGAATAATATCAGTCGGTAAGACTTAAGTGAAGTAATTTATGGTAATGGGTGGGACTCGGAATTCTTGAGGGATGTATTCTGCGGAGTTCTTATTTGAGTGAAACCGTTTGTTAAAATTTTTTTGAAAATACTAGTGAATGGAAATTAATTAATTTCTGGCTAATTGTCGTTTCGAAACGATTAAGAATTTAAGAAAGGAAAAAAGGAATTTTCATTGTCAAAGAGCTATTTGACAGACTAAAGATTTTAGTAACAGCATAAGTCTGAAGACAATTAGCTTTTTACAATATATACAACTGAGTAATTACACTATATACAAATCCTTCAACTGATAGTCATTCAACTTATATTGCCTTCTCAGGTTTAGGAACAAATTATCATATCCTTATCAGTTAAATGATTTAGAGTGAGTACTTAACGCCTGCTCTTTTAAGGCAATGGTTAATAAATTGATTGGGTATAAGATTATTTTTGAGAATTTTAATAATGAGCGAAATTTCGCGTTGTAGATCTATTGTATCTGTGCAGATACTTTTGATTCGTTGTATTTGATTTATTATTGTATTGTTAATTACTTTTTTGGATATGTTGGAATTCCAATTTATTTATTTGTTAGTATTGAAATTGAAGTTTCTTGTTTTGTCAAAAAGTAAAATTTTTTTGTAGTTAATGATTTGAAGATCTAGATAGTCTCCGAAAGCTCAGGTATATAAGTTTAACTGATTTGAATTCTGATTATGGAAGTAGAAGTGAAACTAAAGTCAAAATAACAGGATAACTGCTGGATTAGTGGCCGTGCAAGTACAGTTCCCAATACAAGAGATTTTAGAGCTGGTCTTCTGCTGTGTAAGCACGGGATTTCTTTTTTAGCATAGTTTGACGCCCTTAAAAAAAAAAAAAAAAAAAAAAAAAAAAAAATGACTCATAACTGCTTAGGCTGGTGGTGGTGTAGTGCGATTTTTATGTATTGTACGTCTTCTTCACTACTAGTAAGCTATTATCAAATAAATAATTAAGATGCCCTTAATATTATCAACAAAAGTCAAATTATGATATTTTTGATTCAGTTTGGATATATATTTTTACTATGACATTGTATTACTAAAATTAATAATTCAAACAGCTTAAAATGCAGCAATGCTACCTAATAAATAAGCGAAGTTTTATGCGGAAAATTAAAATTAATTCTTTTTGTTTTAGTCGAAACTGAAATGGTTTGAGATTTCAGGCGAACTGAAAATATCATAATATGAATGTTATCGAAAAAAAAGTGCGTTTTGTATTTTATTTTACAAACAGGATTACTGATAACTTTATAAAACATTTAAAAAAATCATGTTAAATAAACTAAGCGACGGATCAAAGTATATTTTACTCTTGCAAATGATGCTACTTAACAATTTTTATTTACAAAAACGTGTTAGGAATAACCCAGTATTTAAAGATTTTCTATAACTGTATAAAGTTCCCTAAAATAAAATCGAAATGGGCAAAAATAAAATTAACATGTATACATTAAGGAAAATACAAATTTAACCCATGCTGGGATACAACATCGAAATTATCCGGATATTCCAAATATCTGGGTAGACTGCTCTGCTTAATTCGTATATTTGTAGCTCTATTATGCGTGAAAAATGCCCACAATGAATTCCTGAAGTGCAAAAATCCAAATTACTCCGTAAGCTACAAAATAGCTGTCGTACCGTTTCAGCGCTTTCTGCGACAGCGTCAAGGAGGATTGTAACCACGGCATCCACAGAATCCTGCAAGGGGTTCTTGTACTGAGAAATGAGGTCACGACACACGCCTTCTAAAATCATCGGCTGAATTCCCAATAGATTCCTGAATAAAAATAAATAAATAAATAAAAATATGAAAGCTTTTAGATTTTATATTGGTCCAAACGGGCGTTTTTTTAACGTTTTATGCGTTACATTTATTTATTAAATATCATGGCCTTCGCACTTAAACCATAAAATTCACTTCAACAGAATATCACAAAATAAATTAAAAAGAGAATATCTTCAGAATTTGGGATACACAGTCTCGCGCGCTGGATGTAATTTTTTTTTTTTTTTTTTTTTTTTTTTCCAGTACAGTAAGACCCCGCTTAACGCTGTTTCGTTTAGCGCTCTTTTATTTCAACCCGGGGATTCCACGAAATCGCTCGCAGCACACGGGGATTCCCCGAAATATTATGCAGCGATAGGTTTCAAATACATATCCGAAAGAGTGTACTTGTATTTCTTGTTTGGTGCGGTATTGTACAGACATATTTTGAAGGAGTAAATGTGGAAGATGTCGAAGAAATAATTCAAGAAGCAGCGGCTAGTCTTTCTAATGATGAGCTCAAGGAATTAACTGAACAAGAAGAAAACAAAAATGTTGACAGCAGTGATTCAGAAGAAGAGCAAAAAGAACTTTCGATGGCGTTTGTAAAAAGGAGTTTGTCTACCATAACTGAAATAATGGATCAATTCATTGAAAATGATCCGAATTTTGACAGGAGCTCAAAAGTAAGGCGTGGTGTTAGAGATGTTCTATCCGTTTATGAAGAACTTCTAAGAGAACAACGCAAAAGAAAAAGGCAAACAACATTAGATGCTTTTGTCACAAAAAGGCAGAACACTGAAAACGCGGAAGGCTAACTAAATATGACTGACTTATAATTTTATTTTTTTTTTATTTTTTTTTTTTAAGAACATTCGTTTTGTCATTTATATTTTGTTTTTATTTTTGCAAGAAATATTAATGTGGTATTAATTTGGGCTTTAAGAAATAAATGTTTGGTTTTATTTTTATTAAAAAAACATACTTTTTAAATTTAATACCTAACCAATTTCCTAGCCATCTTCCCCTAACCCCAATATTTACATGTAAAGATAGCCTCGTTTAGCGCTGTTTCGCATTACGCTCTACTTTGATGGAACGTATCCCCCGCGTTAAGCGGGGTCTTACTGTACAGTGTTTCCATTGCTCACTTTGAAATCGCTGAGTTTGTTAATCAAATATTCGTTAAAGTTTCACAAATTATGATAGTAAAACAAACTATCAATCCCAAATTTGGGCTTCCAGGTGCACATATTCGAGAGGAGGACTACGTTATTCAGAAATGGATCTCTCTAGGTACCGTCGTTTTTTCACAGTGAGTGAAACATACATACATTTAAGCAGATCTTCATTATTTAATTTCTTTAAGTATAATACAGGGTGATAATATTTGATGGCAACCATTTGAAAAGTGAAACGCCGTTTATAATGAACCAATGCAAAATGCGAAAACGAAATTAATAGACCTTCTGGGAAAAATTATCCCTTTGGGCTAAAAATCTTTGGGCAATCTTATCTTCGTATTCAGGCTCTTGTTTGCTACCATAATCATTCCCAAATTAAACATTTAGCCATGCTCCTTGATAGGGACACTTTTAGGTGGTAAACTCATCAGTAATTACACCTTGCCGATATTGTTTGAAATCGATCTGTTAACACTAGAATACCTTTCATGCAGCCTAGGCTTAGATTTATAAAACAGTGTGGAAAATGTAGTTCCGTACGAAGACCTGAAAATTGTAAAATAAAAAAGTTCAGGGTTCGTAGACACCTTTGATACTGAATAAGGCATCAATCTCAAAATTTTTCTTTCAGCCTATGCAATTTAAAAATTAGTCTAAAAAAAGATTTTAAACTACACAAATCAAAATTACACAGTTTCACGCATAGAGTAACCGAACAATTTCTTATAAATAAAAAAGTGTTACTAACTTTCAAATAAATTTACTTTCTTCAAAATAATCGCCACAGAGGAATCTATAAAATTTTTACAACGTTTCTTAGGATACGCTATTAATAGATACTAAAACTGACCGTTCTCAAAATATGCCTAACATTTCTTTTAATGCCAGAGACGTTTTCCAATTTCTGTCTTTTCATAGCCATCTAAGCTTTGGGAAAAGGAAAAATATCAGCTGCCTATAAATCGGAAGAATATAGTGGCTGATTTATAATTACAACCGAATGTTTAGCTAGATATTGCTGTACAGATAATGCTGTATGGAGGCCAGTATTATTGAGTTAAAGAAACCATTGTCCAAAACCAAAAAGTTCCTTCCTGACTCGACTTATCCTGGTCAGTATCACCTTATACTCTTTGATTTAGACATCCGTGGTTTTTTGAAGGTGTTGGTGTATTTAATTATGGCAAAGCAGACGAGGGCTATCTGCCTAAGGGGAGGGATGCCTTTCGTGGAGGACTTTCTAAGGGAAACTGGCTCGTATACACGTTACACATGGGGAAAACCACGAAAACGCCCATGCAGCCAGCCCGTTCGCGGGATTCGAACCTCGGACTGAACTACCAGTGTTCAGCGACTTTACCGCTCGGCCGCTGGTGGGCCCACTTTTTTGAAGGAGGAGGGGGTATGGTAGAAGACGGTCATTTCCACTCTACACTTTGTCTTTTTGTTTCTGGGTCGTATAGTACATACAAAGTCTCATCTCCCGCCATGATACATTTTAAGAAACTGCTCTTCAGTCTCGCAGTAGTCAACAAATCTTCATAATAGGCTTTTCTCTGTTCTTTTTGATGCTCCGTGAAAATCCGAGGCACAAATCACACAAAAAGTTTTTCTTATTTACAGATTTTCAATTAAAGTTAATCCTACGGATTTGTTTGCTCATCCCAAGCACGTCTGATAGTTGCTTATCTATTCATCAGCTTTCATAAAAAACGAATTTTCTCCACATTTTCCTCATTCTTTCAAGTTGCAGGGCCCCTCTGCCCGATCTTTGGTTCCTTTTCAACATTTTTGTGCCACCAATTTAAATACGCAGGTACTTACTTGTTTTCCTAATAGTGATGCAGTGCCATACACTGTTCGTATCATCTGTAACGTTTCGGTAGCAAATTTACCTAATCTGTAACAAAATTTTATGTTAAAATGTTGTTCCATCTCGAAGCAAATCTATTTTGTACAAATGTGTTTGTTCTCAGTCAATGAAATGATTCTGTCGTTTCGATAAGCAAGTCACAAAATATTTAAATTGTTAAAATGTCTTTAACAACAGTTGAGATGTCACTCTTTCTAAGCGAACATTTTTTTTTTCTTCCTCTTTTTATATTATCGTGTGGTCTCTAAAAAATTTGTACGGTTACTTTATCAGGACTTGTATGTCTTTTGATCTGTTTCGGGAATACGACGTGTCCTAGATGAGAACAGGGAGCTTATTCAAGCTATGTTCAAATATGTGTGGAATGGACGACACAAGCAGGAAGGGTTAATTTTACCCTTTATTGTCCACGATATTATAGGTACTCCCGCACTTCGGGATAGATACAAAGACCAACCACTTGCGGTCTGAACGTAAAAATATAAAAACTACTAACTAGCTAAAACTAAGATTTAACTTTGAGTGCTTTACACAACTGACTAACGCTAAGACTGGCCTATTAAATTATTACGTATGTAGTACGCAAACTGCCGAAACTCCAATAAATTACGTTTTAAATATCAAGAGGGCTAAACCTTAAAGGAGGACAGCAGCTGATTTAAAAACTCGTGCGGAAGGCAGTGGCAAGGCGACTCACTTTCTAACTATCTAACTTTGCTCTTGGCGAAAAGCCACAACTTAAATACTTGGGCGTTAGCAAGTACAATTTGCATAAACAAATTAACGCGTTTATTCTGGCCGGAAGTGGAAAATAAGAGAAGATTTTAAAATAAAATAAACGTTAGTAAACTTAAGGTCCTTACAACTTTATGGGAGTACTTTATATTTTAAACGAGCTGTTACAAATAGCAAGAGGATAAACTTAGCATCATATTTTAAAGTCTTTAATTAATACCACTTTGAGACTTTGCTCTTCTTTGTTAAAGACAAGACATAATTACTCAAGCAGTGATTGCCCATTTTTACTTCCTTGTACGAAGTAAAAAGGAAGTATTGTAATCGCGAAAAGTTTCAGGCAGCATATTTCAACGAAAATATCCATTTTGACCGCTATCGAATGCATTTTAACGATGTTTTTGCGTGATATCTGTAGGTAAGGACATAATAAAATACTCTTTTCCTTCAAAAAAAAATTATAAAACTGCTTTGAAATGAATTCTGAAGAGAATTTTTCGTGGCGTCTGTACGAACGTATGTATGTACGTGCATGCGTACGTACGTATCTCGCATAACTCAAAAACGAGTAGCCTCAGAACGTTGAAATTTTGTATATAGGACTGCTATAACATGTAGATGCGCACCTCGTATTTTGGTTGCAATCGGCCGCACCAAACGTATATAAATATATTTATATATATATCCACTCTGTCATTCAGTTTCTTTACTCTTGTATGTTTGTAAATTGTAAATTTTTTGCTTAAAAAATGATTGTATTATGTTGTTTTTATCTTCCGGTTAAGGTTTTTATGCCTTTAGTAAATCTGTATGCAATATTTTGAGAATTATCAACAATTTTAAAGTTGTCTAAGTGCCGCTAAGCCTTTTTTATATGGCAGCCATTGATATTTACATTTGAAACAGAGACTAGTGGATTTGTTGCCAATCTAGAGAAACTTAGCGTCGCAACAACAAAGATAACGCATCCAGTTATTATTGGGAATTAAATCATGCTTAATTCTTTCTGGAATTTTTCCGAGGAAATAAGTGTTTAAGATTTACTTCGTAATTTTTAATATAGATATTTTGAGTTTTTATGCATTTTTGCCTTCTCGCGAAGTGAGAACTGAATTAATTAAAATGAGAAATACTCAATCGTCTGTGAAAAACTGTTTCTTGTTTTTTTTTTTTTTTTTTTTTGTTGTTATTGTTTGCTTAATTTTATTTATACATTATTCTAGCTTTATTATAGTATTTGAATAGAACATGTAGCAACGATTAGATAATTCCATTCTTTAAATGATATAAATTTTGTGCATTATGATGAGTTATAATATGAACGAAATATATAAGTTAACTGTTATATAATTATTGGATTATATAACAGTTAACTTAGTTTCCATTATATAATTATTATATAAGTTAACTGTCATATAATTATTAATACTGTTAAGTGAATCTAGCGGCAGTGTCGCAATGGTAAACAAATACCAGAGTGAATTTTAAAGAATGCATTTATTCTATTGTGGTTTATGCGCTGTCGGCGAAGTAGATATAATTCAATCCAATAAGTTTAAATTAAATGCAAGAAAAATGCGTATAATTTAATATTCCGTACAAGGAAGTCATGTGGTGTACACATCAGATTTTTTATCTTAAGTAACATACTTTTTTTACCTTTATAACCATTATAGAGCCGACTCTCGAAGACCGCGGTTTTGAATTTCTTTAATTCACATACACGTCTCTTTTCCCTTCCGTAAAGATGTTATAACTTAATATCCGAAAGATTTTAGAAAAATTCCTTAAAATTCGAGGAATTTCTGCCCGCGATAATTTATTGACCTACTGATCGTGTACACGAGATCACTTCATAAATCCAGTTAATGTAATAAATAATATAATAAGAATGAATTTAATAACAAGTGACATTCCTCAGTGTTTTCGTAAACCTTAAACAAGACACTATGTAGTATTTGAAGGTCTTCCAGTTGTGTTGAAATTCGTTCCTCAGAACGATTCTCGACACGAAAAACGTAAAAAAAAAAAAAAAAACATCCTGATAGGTAATCGATTAAAATGATAACTGTCTGTGGTTATATTAAAAATATATTTTGAACAGTTTACCTTATACCATGCATATTCATTATCGATACTGCTAGCTTCTGTTCATCTGGTACCAAAGTCTGTAAAATGTTAAAAAAAATTAGCATAAGCATAAAATGTAGCTGCAAAAAGTTTCAGCAGATATTTGCTACAAATTATTAGCCACACTGATATGAAACGAGCAGCTTCAAATTTATGTTATACAATATTGTTCACACTTAAAAAAAACTACTCAAACATAGTTACTAATAATTTTATTATATCTGTTACATGGATTTTCATTTATGAATCTAAACGTAACAAAAGAACGACGCAGTGTAATACTAGAACGGGAGAGAGTGAGGATGCTTCGCGGTTTTGACCATTTTCTCTGCTGCAAAAGAACATTTTTAAGAAATTTTTAATATAATTATCAGTGAGTCTCGTTAGCGACAAGATATGACATTATTATTGAGAATAAAATAAGTAATACCTCATTGAACTACCGAGTTCAGTTTGAGCGATCTGCATCACGGTACGGGTTCGTAATTTCAAAAATTTACTTGATAACGATCGTAGTTTATTTTTGTTATTATTTGTTGGTTTCTGTAGTACTAACATGTTTGCTTACCCTGTTCGTGTCCTTCCTTTCTTGTGTTTTGTGTTGTTACTACCGCGCCAGGAAAGCATTTCCGACCATGCATTGCTGTGTGATTTTCAACTGTCTAGGTATACTCTACCCCCTGAAAGTTTGTGACCGCGGTGCTGAAACACCCTATATATATATATATAATTTATTTCCGAAACAGTATTGATTAATTGATTATATTATCTCCTAAGTTTAATTAAAGTAGAATTATTTTAAAAGTGTGCATCTATACTGGTAAGTTATATTTTGAAAGATGTTTTGAAGTAATTTGAAAGCAAAATGTTAATAATGTTTTAACGGGGACTGGAGTTAAATCATCACGAAGAATAATATTTCAATTGTAAAAGGAAAAATTAAAACATGTAATCATTGTCATTGATCGGAAATTAGTTGACTTTTCAAGGGGAACAAACAACCAACTCCCGTTCAATGAACAATAATTGATAAAAATACGTAAATACGAAAGTGTTTCGTCTTTACTCGAGTTATAAGTTAAAGCCAAACCGGCAATTCTAGTCAGGCCAAATATTTCCGCGAATAGTAGGAATTATGAACCAATGCTGATACTCAAAGAACTTATTCTCATGTAGCATTTTAGTCAAATCAATTTGGAATAAAAATCAATTACTGTAGAGAAATCCTGTAAAACTCGAGTAACCGTCCCCGACACTTTCATCTTTATGCATTAGAGTACTATATTATTTGTAGAAATTAAAAATTGGAAATTGTCATTATGAAATCGAATTCAAAGTAAAGTTGAAATAAACATAGACGATTATAAAAAAAAAAGATAAATAATGCAAACTTTGTAAAAACAAATCAAAGAAAATATAAAAATAATATAGAAAATAATATAAATAAAATCAGTGAATGTACATGAAGATATAAAGGCCAGAAAGGTATTAAGTAACTTACATTCTTTCTAGTGGGGGAGTTGGCAAAGTGTTCTCTTCGTGTCTGACTCAGAAGTGTAGGGTGTCCGAAAATTCTTAGCGGCAGTAGGGGCTTTGAATAATATCAGTCGGTAAGACTTGGGTGAAGTAATTTATGGTAGTGGGTGGGACTTGGAATTCTTGAGGGATGTATTTTGTGGAGTTTCTTATCTGAGAGAGACCGTCTGTTAAGATTTTTTTTGAAAATACTAGTGAATGGAAATTAATTAATTTCTGGCTAATTGTCGTGTCGCAATGATTAAGAATTTAAGAAAGGAAAAAGGCATTTTCGCTGTCCAAGAGCTAATAGACAGTCTAAAGGCATGAAATAGGCCCATTTTTTTTTAGTAACAGTATATGTCTGAAGACAATTAGCTTTTTACAATATATACAATTGAGTAATTACACTATATACAAATCTTTCCAACTGACAGTCATCCAACTTATACCGCCTTCTCAGGTTTAGGAATAAATTATCATATCCCTATCAGTTAAATGATTTAGAGTGAGTATTTAACGCCTGCTCTTTTAAGGCAATGGTTGATAAATTGAAAGGGAATTAGATTATTTTTGAGAATTTTGATAAGGATCAAAATTTCGCGTTGTAAATCTATTGTATCTGTGCATATAGTTTTAATTCGTTGTATTTGATTAATTATAGTATTGTTAATTACTTTTTTTGGATATGTTGGAGTTCCAATTTATTAATTTGTTAGTATTGAAATTGAAGTTTCTTGTTTTGTCAAAAAGTAAAATTTTTTTGTAGTTAATGATTTGAAGATCTAGAAAGTCTATGCTATTTTGTGAATTATTAGTTTTATTAAGTTTAAGACAATTCGGATAAATCTCGGAGTGTTCAATTTTACCAAAATTATTAATTGTAATAAGGTCATCAATATATCTGTAGGTGTGTTTTGTAGTAATTTAACTCTTGTGGTTGTAGATTTTTTTGGAAGTTAAATTCTTTGACAATAAAAAGATATTACAGATCGAGGTGCTGGAATGTAAGCCCATTGGCAATCCTCTGACTTGTTTAAAAAGTTGATTTTGAAACTTGATGTAGTTATGAAAAAGTGTGCATTTTAGGTAGGTTTTCCATTTGTCATGATATTGAGTATATTAGGGAAAAGTTTTGGTAGATCAAGTAGACTGGTATAGATTTCTTCTAGAGGAAGTGAGGTATATAAGTTTTCAAAATCATAGCAGTTAATGTTTTGGATGTTAATGGTATGAATGGTATTAATGACAGGAGTGTTATTATGAATGATCCAGCAATAGTTATGATTAGTGTTACAATCATTGAAAATAAATTTACAGATTTTATTAAGTTGAATTGAAAAAAATAGTCTATATTTTTCTTGTAATTATTAGTTCCATTAGCTATAAATCTAAATTTTAATGGTGTTTTATGGAATTTAGGAATCGCATAAAGATTAGTAAATCTGTTGTAGTTTGCATTGAAAGTAATATTGAGTTTTCTTATGAAAAGTTTTAATCCTGTTTATTATAGATGTTTCTGTAGGTTGGCTAATTGATAAGTAGTTGCGTTGAGAAGTTCTTTATGAATAATCTCAGTGTAGAATTGTTTTCATATAATGCTAAAGTTATTAGTTGCTTTATCTATTTTTGTAATAGTAAAAAGCTGTTTTAATTTACTAATATCTGATGTAAGTTGCGACCAATTCAGTGTACTTTTAAATTTGAGGTGACTGATTTCTGTGGATATGCGTTGAAGAATTTTAGCTTTCCATTTTAAGAAGGTATCTATGGGTAAATTCAGTTGATAGCTTGCTTTAACTATAAATTCGTTGATGTTGTTTTCGAAAGTCTTGTAACAGTAATTTGTAGTCATGTTTCTGACTGGTCTAAATTTTGTACCATAACTCATTAGTGTTTTTAGTTGATGGTTTTGTATGATATTCAGGTTGCCAGTAATTATGTGCTGGTGATGAGAATCTACGTAATTGCTGTAAATTGGTGTCTTACAATGTCATTCTGCAGTTTCATCTATTTCATGGTGGTTAGTAAGCAAGTTGCTTAAGGTCCTTTGATATTTAAATGCAATCATTGGTATTGTGTCAACTGCGGGGAAGTAATCTTTACAATCTCTGATGATTCTTGAGAAATGAATATTGTCAAACTGCGGATGCAGAAAATTGACTTTAAAATAAATTTTGCGTTGAGTGAGACTATTAGAGAGTCTGAAAAGACTAAAATCAAGAATCATGTCTTTAATGATTTGTATGTCGTCGTAGCTTTCTTGAATGAATTTTTTTAGTTTGATAAGGAATTTATTAGTACAGGAGTGTAACCAGTTGAGAAGTTTCTTGGGAAAGCATTCTGAGTCAAAAAAACATTTCAATTGTTTTTTCCAATGCAAGTGTATCCAAAGTGGATAAAAAATCTCGCATTATTTTTATTTTGCTTCCTCTTTTTTCTCTCTCTCTGCGTTTTGATGCTGTAGAGTTTAAATTGGCTGAAAATAGACTTCTTAGAAGTATCTCTATGACTATGTATATAAGTGTTAAGTCCATATGGATAAAGTGAACGTTGTTTTAGTATATAGAGAGATTCCTGAAAAAATTCGTGTTTTGTGATTGGGTATTATATCTAGTATCTGAAGTTGAATAGAGTTGAAGTCATGGTGTTTTAAAGTGTTCTAATTCTGCTGTATTAAGTTGTGATGGGTGTACTTATTTTAATGCTTATGCTATTTTTTTTGTGCGTTGAATTTTTTGATTTGAGCTCTATGGTTATTGATTCGAAAGTTAAGATTGTTTTTAGTCTGTCCTATATATTTAATATCTCAAGTACCGCATGTAATCATGTAAATACAGTTAAATGTTTTTCATAGAAATTGTTTTTTGGGTTTACCTGTAGCAGGCATGGCGTTAAATTTTCAAGTTTGTCATCTAGTGGAATGACATTTAGTGATTTCAATATGAGTTAAACTAACAAGATATAAAAGTAAGGAGGCTGCTAACCTTCAATACAGTAATTTTTTAATTATATATATATATATATATAATTAAAAACCAATTTCAAAAAAACATGATACATTAATGCCTAGTATTTTTGCGCTTCTCCTAATGACGAAGTGGCATTGAAGCTGATTGAATTCCTCCTATTATGTTCCTTTTTTTCTTTAAATTTTATTGATTTTTTTTAAATAGGGGTTTTGGTTTTAACATCATTTATAGAATTATTTGAAATTTATTACTATAAATTCAATATTTTATCTTTGTGAAAAATTGGTTCTATATTTATTATATATATATATATATGTGTGTGTGTGTGTGTGCGTGTGATGTATCAGCTTTAGTCGTAGCTTAAATAATCTGACGATAAGTTTAAAAAACAGGATCCATTTATTATTATTCAGGAGAAATGGCAGTTACAAAAATCAGATATCCGGAGTAAATAAAAAAGAATTACTAATAACTTTTTGTATGAAGTTTACTGTATCGTGACATTTAAGAAAAAGCTCCGATATTCCTTTTGCGAGTCCTTTTATAGCCTCTGGAAAGAGGGAGCTTCCAAAAAATGACGTCAGCCTCGTCAGCCAATCCATTCGCTTTAAATATCTCCAGAACATTCTATAACTGTACGTGTGAAAAGGCGGAAAAACACTTGACTACGGGCTGTGGATTTAACTCCCGTACTTTCAAAATAAGAAACGTCGCCATTAAAAATGAAAAGAACATACATTAGAAATTTAAGTATTCTTGACTATGGAATTTTATTATTACATATATATATATTTTTTGAAAGCACTGAGGTAAGAACACTGAGATGTAGATGCACAGAAATACTGATGGCGTAGATACTTGATGCGTAAAATGTAGAATTCCTGAAGACTAAGAACTTAACAGTCGAGGCGGTTTTATTTAAATTCAGATTTGTGGCCACAATTTCACTTGGCACTCCAATAGTGCCTATTTCCAGAACAATTTTGATACTATTGCCATGTTGCAGCAGCGTCTTAACAGGATGAAAGCGTAAGCGAGAAGGGAAAGAGTGTCGCAGTAGTAATGCAGAGGAAGAAAGGAGGGAGTCAAAAAGTTTTGATTTACAATTACTTTGGTTGCACAAGAGATATCTGCATTAAGCGTTACGTAGGATCGCATGATTACTTTGAATGATGCAGTTTAGACTTATGGCGCTATTTCTAAGACAGAGAGAGGAAGTCTCCAAATTAAATAAAAAATAAAAGAGGTTATAGCCAATTAAAATTAGAAGTTTGTTTTCATATTTTTTAATCCTTTCAGAGGTATCGACGTGTTGTTATTACTTTGTATCCAACATTTGTATATTCAAGGATCTCAATATTTTAAAAATACACCTAAAAGGAGGCAACATAAATCAGTTTACCAGTTTCAGTTTGTTCTGAATTTCTGTATAGAGTTTGAAGTTGATAATAGCACCTGCTGATAGCTCACTCATGTCGATTAGCTCCGAATGTCCCATTAACTTGATCTCGATGTCCTCGATGAAGTTCTGGATTTGTCTGTGCATAAATATAATCAATGAGGAAACAGTTGTTCTCAAATGCATTCAGACTTTTAACAAAAAGACTTTTGAGAAAAATTAAACATATTTCAGGCTAATGATTTGTGCAATATAGCAATAGAACCGCAAACTAGGTTTATAACAAGATATTTAAAACAATTAATCTACAAAAGTGTTCATTATTCCAATGATATGCTGAAAATTTGTGCTCAATTTGTAAGATAGGGTCCTAGTACCCACCAAGATAATTATTTTTTCATTCATTTTTTAAATATTATTATAATCAAAAAGGATTGAGAATGATTAAAAAAGATTTTTTTAGTCTTCGAGACATATTTTTAAATCGTTTTCATAAAACCTTTTCACGAAGTTCAGCAACTTTTGCTTTTCGTTTTGGCATCAATAGATTTGAAACTATTATCACGTAGGGAGAGATTTAATCACGGCAAAACATTAAAAATGGAGCTTGTAGATCCGTATCGGTTGAATGTTTCAACCAAAATTTCACAAAACCATGAACGTTGTCTGCACATGCACTGTCGTGCTGCAAAATCCATGAACTATCTCGTCAAAATTCATGTGATTCTCTACAAACTGTTTCAAGTAAATCTCGCAAAATAATATTCTTTACTTAGATCTAAAATTACTTAGATTATAGCAAATCACACGAGGCCACTCTGCCTTAAAGGAGGAATGCGTTTGTGGAAGATGTTTTTAAGAAAGACTGTTTTTGTTCGTGTTATCCACGACAGCTTCCATCCATGTAGCCAGCCTTCCTGCCGTTATATGAACCCCGTATCCAACTGCAAGTGTGGGCGATTTTAGAGGTGTGTTGCTGGTGGATTAAAACAATCAAAGAAAACAGCTAATGTTAACTTAACGTACTTTTGACCAAGTCTGACATAGCTTCTTAACATTATTTCGTCCTTTGAGTGCCATTCACTGAATTTTGAGCTGTCTCTGGTGGATCTTCGGATTATGGTAACCTGGCGATTATTTGGTGAAAATTTGGCGACCAACCCTGCTACAGCAACCTGCTAGTTTTTTTTTTTTTTTTTTTTTTTTTTTGGACGCCATTTTGTTTTCACAAAGTAAAGGCATGTTTTTTTTTTTTTTTTTTTTTTTTTTTTTTTTTTTTTTTTTTTTTACTTAACATTTTTTCCAACAATCTGCTAGCCGAATTACGCTTATGCTAGAACTTTTCTGAAACAAAAGTCCTTAATCATGACGAAAATTAGGTGCGAAATTGTTTTTAAGTGCTTATTAGCTAAAATCACGATCGAAATTTTCCGGAAAATGTCACATGACATGTCTCATGATCTCTCATTTCTCTGAGACAAAATAATCTGTGATTCGAACTGTGTACTTCTCAGATTATTGCTATAGGTCCTAGCTAGTAACTTTATCGCCTTATCAAAATGTCGCCAAACATCCTGTTACCATATTCCAAAGATTAGCCCTGTCTCTCTATCAAAAGCGTGGTTCTGAACTTTCATCGCCAATAATAATGTGTTTTAAGAAGGACTCGCTTTTAGGAAACAATTCCTCAACCACTCAAATACGTCGTTACTGTTGTAAAATATTCAACCGTTTTAGAACAACTCAAAAAGTGATGCGTCGCAAAACCAAATGACATTCAGGATCCATATAATGTTTTAAATTGTTTCCTAAATGTAAAACAAGCAAGCTTCCTAAATGTAAAACGATGATCGCTAAGCACCCTATCTCAGACATGACTGACGTCCTGCAGGTTATTAAGTTGATGTCCTGTTTCTGATCCAGTGTTGTCCGTAAGGGTACTTTGCAACGTTCCTACAGCAGAAATTCTATTGCGAAAACAAAATTTAATGCATGTTCTTTGTTCAGTCATATTCTCCATTTTGGGAGATATGCAAAGCAAAAAACTTCTTTATTATTAAGAGTGAATTTGTTTACAAATGCTAAAAGGAAATGAAATATGGATTGTTACCATATGCCGATGAAAGACATAATAATATCTGAAAAATTTTGGGAACGATTCCTCGCATGTGCATATTTTAAATTTCATATATTTCCGAATACCAGCCAATCCATGTAAAAGACGAGAGTTAAGGCTTTTCTAGAAAAATTGAAATCTGTGTACCATTTGATTTTATAATGTAGCCCAAAGTGTGAATAACTGGTCATTTAGCTTATCTAGATCTGATGAACAAAAGGTGGGCGCATTTATTCGACAAACAGAGAATCGATGCTGAGAATATTCAGTATTTGTATGATTAATGTATATTAAACCTAATTTTAAAAACTGTATTTTTTCCAGTTATGTACCCGATAATATTATTTTGTGATCTAATTATTTATAAATTATTTTTTGAGTTCGTACTTAAGCCGGCCATCAGAACTCACAGCAAAATATTTACGAAAAAATGTTTTCGCATGCACACAATATGGAAAAAAAAATCATCCATGCTTTCTGTTAACAACAATAAATTTGAGGCCAGTCAGGGTAGAATTTTAAAAATGTTGATTTATTTTTATTTTAACGTTCAGAGAACCGAGCTGCAAGTTAGTTCAATTACTTTATGAAAAAGTACAAAAAATGATAGTTTAAAATTTAGTTTAAAAGTACGAAAAATGAGAGTTTAAAATTTAGTTTAAAAGTACGAAAAATGTTAGTTTAAAATTTAGTTTAAAAGTACGAAAAATGATATGAATGTTAAGTTTTACGATTTACAGAATCAAATTTAATGATTTTTAAATATTTCTTTTCTGCTGTAGAACGTTTACTTCATGAATACCAGTGGAAATAAAATAAACCTCATTAATCAAGACAGATAGAAACACACCAAAGTAAAACATAAAACTAAAACAAAGCAACGTCCTTGTGTTTGGCGTAGGTTTTACTCAATTTATCGATTTCGAGGGCAAACGGGTACAGGTTTCTCTTCATAGCAAAGAAATCTGCTACGGATAATATACGTAAATTCCTTCTCTATGCTTCTGATCTATCCAAATGATAAGCAATATTTTCCTAATTTATTCCTCTCTAGATTTCTTTGCTCCTGTTGAAGAGGGAGCTGTGCCTGCTTGCCCCCGAAACTGACAGAGTCGTGACTAAAATCTACGCCAATTACAAGATTGTTGCTTTGCCTCATTTCATGTTTTATCCTCGTTAGTCAGATATTATTACTAAAAAATTATTCTTCGCCCCAGTGCACAGAAGTTTCATTTTGAAATTTTTACATATAGTGCATAAGATGCACAAAAATCCTGTGATTTAAAAATTGCAGTTTTTTTTTTTTTTTTTTTTTTCTCTTCATCATTGCACTTATCAGAACAAAATTTTGCTAAAATCAAAAAAAGAAATTGATTTATTTATGAAAGTATTTGGTGTACCAAATGTAAGTCAAAATAATTCATCCCAATAGTTTTATATAAGGTTCCATAAAGATACAAAATGTATGTCGTCAGAAACATCTTTCAATGTTCAAAAGCTTATCAGTTGGGTGTACTATTATAAAATATTTTTTTTACCATTTAGATGCATATTAAACAAGTAAAGATTTAAATTACAAATAAGCGCATTTATTGCGTTTAAGTCCCCCCCCCCATTTGTTAAGCAATTACAGACAGATTAAATATGAAAGATAAATTTTAAAAAATTACGCTTTGCTTAGTGGCAAAACTGAAAACTGGCTATTTGCGAAGGTCGCCGGCAAAATAAATTAATATTATATTTTGTGCGCTTTCAGCTCTTTCCAGCTAGTGTGAGTGATGAATGTGCGGTACTGTAACATAACATACACATACAAAATATTTCTGAGGAATACGGTAATGATGTTTCTAGCAACTAAAAATTTTTATAGGAAGAAATAGAAATTTTTAACATTGTCAGCTACATTTGTAACTTGCTGCACGAACCCATTGTTACGCATCAGGTTTTACTTACTTTGTCATATAGAACTGCTTAGAGTTTGAGCCACTGCCCAAAGCAGCCTTGAAATCTTCGAGTTCTCTGGAATAACTCGAGAGTTTCTTGGACAGATCGTGCCTAACCTCGGGCAGGCATTCCTTGATGTGCGCTCGTAAGGTTTTCTGCAGCAGCCTCTGGAGGTATGGCGTACCCATCCTGTGAGCCATGTGTCTAAAAACAAAGAAAAAAGTAATTTACGCCCTTATACGGACATCATATAAAAATGACGTCATAAGTTGTCTTCATTTCGAAGTAACTCAGATACCAAGCTCTGCAGAATGCAACAGAAGGGGTCTTTGAGTTTCTGAGACAAATTCGAGACATGGATGCTAATTAAGTTAGTTAGAGTAGACGCCGCTTAATGTGATCATTAACAATTACAACATTAGTTATTATTTTTGTTGGGTGCTCCAACTTACAATTTTTTGGGAATGTTAGTATAAAATTAGCAAAAAGGTTTAGTTAGTTTAGAGATATTTACATATATACAATGTTAATGTCATCATTCAGGTATCGTTATCGAATTGCCGAAGTTCCACTCGTTTGTACACGAAAACGTGAAATACATCGCTTATCGGGATCAAAAATTCGGTTAATATCATCAAACTATTATACGATACTTTACAAACTGAAGTAAAGTCGCCAAATAAAGGCCAACTCATCAAATAAGGTGAAAATAGATCATAAAAGTTGCAAAGAATCAGAAAAATGTCGCCAAGTGAGGGATTATATCGCCAAACAACTTGTTTTCGATTTTAGTCAACCATTTAAAATTATGCAAAAAGCAACCTTAGTTTGACTTAGATTTTGAATAACTCTCATCAGTTTGAGGATGATCAGACACGGGTCTCTGTTCATCGGGGGAAGGGAATCTCTTGAAAACATCTTCGCCACACTAAGGTTGCTTTTTTACCTAATCTATGTTCTTCCGGCGAATGAGGAATACCATCCGGGTATTAAGATTAGGCGTACAACATCGGCCAAATAACTTCCAGAAATATTATGAACAATTTGTTAATGAACTGTTGCTCTAAAAATATTAGGAACAATTCAGTTACAAATCTTCCACTTACCTAGTTAAAATTTGTGAAAGTACCTATTTATATGTTTTTTGTTGTATTTGTATTCAATTAAATTCCATCGCTGTTTCATTTGCTTCATTGCATTCACTCGCTGTTTTGAATGATATTTTTTCTTATCG